AGATGGTACTGGTAGAACCATAGCTGTTCTAAGATGATACTGGTAGAACCATGGCTGTTGTAAGATGGTACTGGTAGAACCATGGCTGTTCTAAGATGGTACTGGTAGAACCATAGTTGTTCTAAGATGATACTGGTAGAACCATAGTTGTTCTAAGATGATACTGGTAGAACCATAGCTGTTCTAAGATGGTACTGGTAGAACCATAGCTGTTCTGAGGTGGTACTGGTAGAACCATGGCTGTTCTAAGATGATACTGGTAGAACCATGGCTGTTCTAAGATGGTACCGGTAGAACCATAGCTGTTCTGAGGTGGTACTGGTAGAAATATAGCTGTTCTAAGATGATACTGGTAGAACCATGGCTGTTCTAAGATGGTACCGGTAGAACCATAGCTGTTCTGATGTGGTACTGGTAGAACCATAGCTGTTCTAAGATGGTACTGGTAGAACCATAGCTGTTCTAAGATGATACTGGTAGAACCATGGCTGTTCTAAGATAGTACTGGTAGAACCATGGCTGTTCTAAGATGGTACTGGTAGAACCATAGTTGTTCTAAGATGATACTGGTAGAACCATAGTTGTTCTAAGATGATACTGGTAGAACCATGGCTGTTCTAAGATGGTACTGGTAGAACCATGGCTGTTCTAAGATGGTACTGGTAGAAACATAGTTGTTCTAAGATGATACTGGTAGAACCATAGCTGTTCTAAGATGATACTGGTAGTACCATGGCTGTTCTAAGATGGTACTGGTAGAAATATAGCTGTTCTAAGATGATACTGGTAGAACCATGGCTGTTCTAAGATGGTACCGGTAGAACCATAGCTGTTCTGATGTGGTACTGGTAGAACCATAGCTGTTCTAAGATGGTACTGGCAGAACCATAGCTGTTCTAAGATGGTACTGGCAGAACCATAGCTGTTCTAAGATGATACTGGTAGAACCATGGCTGTTCTAAGATGGCACTGGTAGAACCATGGCTGTTCTAAGATGGTACTGCTAGAACCATAGTTGTTCTAAGATGGTACCGGTAGAACCATAGCTGTTCTAAGATGATACTGGTAGAACCATGGCTGTTCTAAGATGGCACTGGTAGAACCATGGCTGTTCTAAGATGGTACTGGTAGAACCATAGTTGTTCTAAGATGATACTGGTAGAACCATAGTTGTTCTAAGATGATACTGGTAAAACCATAGCTGTTCTAAGATGGTACCGGTAGAACCATAGCTGTTCTGATGTGGTACTGGTAGAACCATAACTGTTCTAAGATGGTACCGGTAGAACCATAGTTGTTCTAAGATGATACTGGTAGAACCATGGCTGTTCTAAGATGGTACTGGTAGAACCATAGTTGTTCTAAGATGATACTGGTAGAACCATAGTTGTTCCAAGATGATACTGGTAGAACCATAGCTGTTCTAAGATGATACTGGTAGAACCATGGCTGTTCTAAGATGGTACCGGTAGAACCATGGCTGTTCTAAGATGGTACTGGTAGAACCATGGCTGTTCTAAGATGGTACTGGTAGAACCATAGCTGTTCTGAGGTGGTACTGGTAGAAATATAGCTGTTCTAAGATGATACTGGTAGAACCATGGCTGTTCTAAGATGGTACCGGTAGAACCATAGCTGTTCTGATGTGGTACTGGTAGAACCATAGCTGTTCTAAGATGGTACTGGTAGAACCATAGCTGTTCTAAGATGATACTGGTAGAACCATGGCTGTTGTAAGATGGTACTGGTAGAACCATGGCTGTTCTAAGATGGTACTGGTAGAACCATAGTTGTTCTAAGATGATACTGGTAGAACCATAGTTGTTCTAAGATGATACTGGTAGAACCATAGCTGTTCTAAGATGGTACTGGTAGAACCATAGCTGTTCTGAGGTGGTACTGGTAGAACCATGGCTGTTCTAAGATGATACTGGTAGAACCATGGCTGTTCTAAGATGGTACCGGTAGAACCATAGCTGTTCTGAGGTGGTACTGGTAGAAATATAGCTGTTCTAAGATGATACTGGTAGAACCATGGCTGTTCTAAGATGGTACCGGTAGAACCATAGCTGTTCTGATGTGGTACTGGTAGAACCATAGCTGTTCTAAGATGGTACTGGTAGAACCATAGCTGTTCTAAGATGATACTGGTAGAACCATGGCTGTTCTAAGATAGTACTGGTAGAACCATGGCTGTTCTAAGATGGTACTGGTAGAACCATAGTTGTTCTAAGATGATACTGGTAGAACCATAGTTGTTCTAAGATGATACTGGTAGAACCATGGCTGTTCTAAGATGGTACTGGTAGAACCATGGCTGTTCTAAGATGGTACTGTTAGAAACATAGTTGTTCTAAGATGATACTGGTAGAACCATAGCTGTTCTAAGATGATACTGGTAGTACCATGGCTGTTCTAAGATGGTACTGGTAGAAATATAGCTGTTCTAAGATGATACTGGTAGAACCATGGCTGTTCTAAGATGGTACTGGTAGAAATATAGCTGTTCTAAGATGATACTGGTAGAACCATGGCTGTTCTAAGATGGTACTGGTAGAACCATAGTTGTTCTAAGATGGTACTGATAGAACCATAGTTGTTCTAAGATGATACCGGTAGAACCATAGTTGTTCTAAGATGGTACTGGTAGAACCATAGCTGTTCTAAGATGATACTGGTAGAACCATAGTTGTTCTAAGATGATACTGGTAGAACCATGGCTGTTCTAAGATGGTACTGCTAGAACCATAGTTGTTCTAAGATGGTACCGGTAGAACCATAGCTGTTCTAAGATGATACTGGTAGAACCATGGCTGTTCTAAGATGGTACTGCTAGAACCATAGCTGTTCTAAGATGGTACTGGTAGAACCATAGTTGTTCTAAGATGGTACTGGTAGAACCATAGCTGTTCTAAGATGATACCGGTAGAACCATAGTTGTTCTAAGATGATACTGGTAGAACCATGGCTGTTCTAAGATGATACCGGTAGAACCATAGTTGTTCTAAGATGGTACTGGTAGAACCATGGCTGTTCTAAGATGATACCGGTAGAACCATAGCTGTTCTAAGATGGTACTGGTAGAACCATGGCTGTTCTAAGATGGTACTGGTAGAACCATGGCTGTTCTAAGATGGTACTGGTAGAACCATAGTTGTTCTAAGATGATACTGGTAGAACCATGGCTGTTCTAAGATGATACTGGTAGAACCATAGTTGTTCTAAGATGGTACTGGTAGAACCATGGCTGTTCTAAGATGGTACTGGTAGAACCATAGCTGTTCTAAGATGATACTGGTAGAACCATGGCTGTTCTAAGATGGTACTGCTAGAACCATAGTTGTTCTAAGATGGTACTGGTAGAACCATAGTTGTTCTAAGATGATACTGGTAGAACCATGGCTGTTCTAAGATGGTACCGGTAGAACCATAGCTGTTCTAAGATGATACTGGTAGAACCATGGCTGTTCTAAGATGGTACTGCTAGAACCATAGCTGTTCTAAGATGGTACTGGTAGAACCATAGTTGTTCTAAGATGGTACTGGTAGAACCATAGCTGTTCTAAGATGATACCGGTAGAACCATAGTTGTTCTAAGATGATACTGGTAGAACCATGGCTGTTCTAAGATGATACCGGTAGAACCATAGTTGTTCTAAGATGGTACTGGTAGAACCATGGCTGTTCTAAGATGATACTGGTAGAACCATGGCTGTTCTAAGATGGTACTGCTAGAACCATAGTTGTTCTAAGATGGTACCGGTAGAACCATAGCTGTTCTAAGATGATACTGGTAGAACCATGGCTGTTCTAAGATGGTACTGCTAGAACCATAGTTGTTCTAACATGGTACCGGTAGAACCATAGCTGTTCTAAGATGATACTGGTAGAACCATAGCTGTTCTGAGGTGGTACTGGTAGAACCATAGCTGTTCTAAGATGATACTGGTAGAACCATGGCTGTTCTAAGATGATACTGGTAGAACCATGGCTGTTCTAAGACGGTACTGCTAGAACCATGGCTGTTCTAAGATGGTACTGCTAGAACCATAGTTGTTCTAACATGGTACCGGTAGAACCATAGCTGTTCTAAGATGATACTGGTAGAACCATAGCTGTTCTGAGGTGGTACTGGTAGAACCATAGCTGTTCTAAGATGATACTGGTAGAACCATGGCTGTTCTAAGATGATACTGGTAGAACCATGGCTGTTCTAAGACGGTACTGCTAGAACCATAGTTGTTCTAAGATGGTACCGGTAGAACCATAGCTGTTCTGAGGTGGTACCGGTAGAACCATGGCTGTTCTGAGGTGGTACCGGTGGAACCATAGCTGTTCTGAGGTGGTACTGCTAGAACCATAGTTGTTCTAAGATGGTACCGGTAGAACCATAGCTGTTCTAAGATGATACTGGTAGAACCATGGCTGTTCTAAGATGGTACTGCTAGAACCATAGTTGTTCTAAGATGATACTGGTAGAACCATAGCTGTTCTGAGGTGGTACTGGTAGAACCATAGCTGTTCTAAGATGATACTGGTAGAACCATGGCTGTTCTAAGATGATACTGGTAGAACCATGGCTGTTCTAAGACGGTACTGCTAGAACCATAGTTGTTCTAAGATGGTACCGGTAGAACCATAGCTGTTCTGAGGTGGTACCGGTAGAACCATGGCTGTTCTGAGGTGGTACCGGTGGAACCATAGCTGTTCTGAGTTGGTACTGGTAGAACCATAGCTGTTCTGAGGTGGTACTGGTAGAACCATAGCTGTTCTAAGATGATACTGGTAGAACCATGGCTGTTCTAAGATGGTACTGCTAGAACCATAGTTGTTCTAAGATGGTACCGGTAGAACCATAGCTGTTCTGAGGTGGTACCGGTAGAACCATGGCTGTTCTGAGGTGGTACCGGTGGAACCATAGCTGTTCTGAGGTGGTACTGGTAGAACCATAGCTGTTCTGAGGTGGTAGTAGTCAGAGAACAGTAAAGGAAACTACTTACAGGCTGAGCAGCTGGTTTGGGTTCAGACGACTTCAGGTGAGCCATCATCGCTTGGAGACGCTCTTTGTCCTTCTTCAGCTGAAGGAGGACACAAATAGAAGTTGAGGTTGGTGAAGTCACAGCCAGGTAAGCTGAGTAGTGTAATTGTCAGACAGCATGACATCTGTTTCCAGGATTGGTAGAAAAACACATTAAAGGTCCAAAAACAAACACATTTACTCAGAGAGCTGAGTTTTTATGGACTGGTTCCAGCCAGTGGGGCTGGAAGTCCACGTCCAATAAGGGTCAAACTGGCTGTGATGGGCAAAAGCTTAAGTGTCCACCTGTAGCTCCAGCTGTTGAACAACTTGCATCTGCACGCGACACTGTGCCGTACTCTTGTCATCGAGTGTGTGGTCACTGTTCAAATGTCTGCAGATAAACAGAGATGCTTTAATGGCTCTGCAACACTAGCCTCAGAGGTGCCGTTGAGTAGAAACGTTCACGTCTGCATTTGAACTCACTTGATAAAGGCCTGAAAGTCTCCGAACACCGTCTCACAGCCGGGCCACTTACACATGCCGTTGCCGTACAGAGGATGGCTGTTCTGTGGGCTTTCATCCTGGGAGCCACTGAAACACCAGCAGAGAGCGTTCAGCCAGGCAGAGCAGGAAAAGCAGGAGAAACACCACAGCGTAGAGCTCTCACCTCTCCTTCCTCTTCAGGAACGCTTGGTGCCCGTTGGCCGTGGAGAGACTGGTCTCTCTGGTGTCTGCAGCAGAGGACGGGACGCTGCCGTTCTCACAACCTGAAACAGACGCACTTGTCCTTTATGCTGCTGGAGATGGAGGCAGCTACATCACAATTCCCTCTGTAAGCTTTATATTATGGGATGGCTGTATCTCTGGAGACTTAGAGTTTGACTTTCTATCTGAAAGTTGCTGATTTGTTCCTCAAGGATCCACACGACACATCCGGTAGCTTCCCCTGGAAGGATCTGTTGTTATTAGAGTTTAGTTGTGGTGCAGAACGTTGATTTTCTTCTGCTGCTCAGCAACGGTGCATTCACGAAAATCAGACGTTTGTGTTTTAGATGAGCATCATGCTGAATACAATCGATTCCAATCACCAGTTAATAAACTAAATGACAGCTTTAATAACAGCGATCATCAGCCTGAGAGGTTCCAGGGTGAGCCGGCGATAAAATAAACAACATCTGGTCAAAAGTCAGCATCCACCAGCGGAAACCTGAGCCAACTTCCAGGTTTCTACTCAGTAAAGACATGTCACATTTGTACAATTAAACATTTATGAAGATCATTATTAATCTTATCAATTTGCTATTTTTTATATAAATGGGTTGCAGATGTTTCACAGGCACATTTTTTTCTAAAAGCCGAAAGATTTCATCCATGACTCTTCTCATAAGAAAAAAAAATGATATATTATGTTTTATTATGTTCTTTTCATGGATAATCCAGCTTCCTGCTGAGCTGGGACATGAAGAGAAACTTTACTAGATCTTAATTACAAGATGTTTCTGATTTAAATAGTAAAGTGAGGATGTGGGAGTGAGTTGGAGTTAGGGCTCAAGGCCAGATGTTTTCTGAAAAGCCCTGAATTTAAATTTTACACTTGACGAGTAAAAAATACTCTTATTTCATATATATATATATATATATATGAAGGCAGAAGCCATCTGGCTCTCCACTTGACGTTCTGCCACCTCGTCTCTGGAAGGCTGCCTTTCCGTGCCTTGGCCCTTCACTTGGTCAGATTATCAATGGGAGCCTCAGCACAGGCGTGGTCCCAGCTGCTTTGAAAGCAGCAGTTATTCGGCCGACCCTGAAGAAACCTGGTGCTGATGTCTCTGTGATCGAAAATTACAGGCCTATCTCTACCCTGCCTTTTACATCTTAACTGCTTGAGAAAGTCATTTATCAGCAGCTGGTCTCACATTTAGCTGACTCTGATCTGTTTGAGGTTTTCCAATCAGGGTTCAGGTCTGGCCATAGCACAGAGTCAGCTCCACTGAGGGTCTTAAATGACATCTATCTATCACTAGATCAGGGAACATCTGTGCTGCTTCTGTTATTAGACCTAACAGCAGCCTTCGACACAGTTGACCAGCGATTCTACTCGATCGCTTGGAACGATGGGTTGGGATCAAAGGGTCAGCTCTGGATTGGTTTAGATCGTATCTCCAAAACAGGACATTCTGTGTTAAACTGGGTGATGTTTTTTCTTCTTGGGAGGGGCTCCGGTGGGGGGTCCCGCAGGGGTCGATCCTTGGTCCACTTTTGTTTGCCATTAATCTGCTACCTCTGGGGTCAATCTTTCGTAAACATGGCCTATCATTCCATCTGTATGCTGACGATTGCCAGATTTACTCTCCATTGTGTCAGGAGAAAGGTCACTCTATCCAGTCCTTTGTGTCTTGTGTTAACGAGGTGAAGTCTTGGCTAATGTCCAACTATCTACATCTGAATGAGGGAAAGACAGAGCTCATTGTTTTTCACCCCAACAGCAGGAATGTGGATCGTTATGCTGATCTTGGCCCTCTTTCTCCATACTCAAAACCAGTTGTTACCAGTTTGGGGTGAAACTTGATGTAGGACTTAAATTTGATGCTCACATCAATTCTGTGATCCGGTCCAGTTTCTTTCACCTGAGACGCCTTGCAAAAATCAAGCCTATGCTGTCGAGAGCCCACCTGGAGCAGGTACTGCATGCCTTTGTTATTTCTAGGCTTGACTACTGCAACTCTCTATATGCAGGGCTGTGTCAGTCATCACTGCGCCGCCTACATGTTGTGCAGAACAGCGCTGCCAGGTTCCTGACTGGGACCAGGAAACGGGACCACATCAGTCCAGTTCTGGCCTCCCTGCACTGGCTTCCGATTTCCTATCGCTCACAATTCAAAATCCTCGTCTTTGTTTATCATTTCTTCCAGGGTGGTGCTCCCCCCTATCTGGCCACACTCCTGAACAGACATTCCCCATCACGCGCTCTGCGCTCCTCTGACCAAGGCCTGCTCGCTGTCCCTCGGTCTAGGTGTCGTACTCGTGGGGACCGGGCTTTCTCAGTCCTAGCACCGTTACTCTGGAACCAGTTGCCACCCTCAATCAGGCTGTCCCCTTCTCTGCCAGTCTTTAAGAATCACCTAAAGACACACCTCCTCCGCTTGGCGTTTCCAGAACATGTTTGATTATGGCCCTCTATTATGTTGAATCCATTCCACAGTTTTCATTGGTTCACTCAATCCATCCACTCAATCCAATTGTGTTTCACACATTTGTATTTTACCGGAATGTTTCATCTATCTTGTAATTTCCATTTTGTATTTTGTAATTTGTATTTTGTAATTTGAATTTCTTTTATTTTGATTTATTCAGTATAATTACTTACAACTGTACCATGTTCAGCGCTTTGGGCTTCCTGACAGGGTTGCGGAAGGCGCTTTATAAATAAAGCTTTGATTGATTGATTGATATATATATATACATATATATAAATCAATTTCCCTCTGGGATTAATAAAGTATTTTTGAATTGAATTAGAAGTAACAAGTAGTCCGAAAAGCAAGTGAATGTTATGTAGAAGGATTTATGGGGAGAATCCACACAAGCTGGGATAAGTGAAGCTGGTGCTCTCTGATGACAAAAACATGAAAAAAAAAAATAATAATAATAATTATATATATATAATTATATATATATATATATATATATATATATATATATATATATATATATATATATATATATATATATATATATATATATATATATATATATAATTACTTCTTTAGTTCAGTAAAATGTAGGGAATGTATTACATTAATGTGTAATAGTAAATCTAACATTACGTGATTGCGTTTAACAGGGTATCTGCAGGTTGAAGGGAGCCAAATTTAAGACTTTTTAAGACCTTTTTAAAGGCCACTTTGACCAAATTTAAGCTATTTTTTTTAAATAAAATTTAAGCTATAATTTCCAGCTATTGCCTGGAACCGGTGCCAAACACGTCGTGAACGTGGGATTAGCCATCCAGTTACCATTAATGTTGCACTTCCCCATGGCGGCAAGACTCCCACTAGCGTGCTCATCTAAAAATAGCCCCCTTTCACACTCAACCAAATGTGTACGGTTCCGCTTACGCCAGTATCATACTCAACAAATGCTGAACACTAACTAGAAATTCATGAAAATTTTATAGAAATAAAAGAATCTCGTTTATTGGGTCTTTGGTAATTTAAGACCTTTGGAAACTCTATTTAAGGATTATTTGTCATTATTAAGGATTTTTAAGGCCTTAAATTTGGAAAAGCAAATTTAAGACGTTTTAAGGACCTGCAGATACCGTCTTAAACTGTGGCTCAACAGAAACATTTAACAAACAAGCACGATGAGACCCATAAACTCAAATGTTGAGGCGACCGCTGCAGCCACTGATTTGTGTGAGTCAGACCTCTGCACCTGTAGGCAGGTGTTCAGACCCGCTGTTCCGTAGTGAAGTCGCCTCCCCTTTCTGGGACGCTCTTGTTTTGAATCACTCTGTTCAATCACTTTTCAAAAGCAATGTTTTTAATTTGGCTCAGTCACTTCCCCCGGTGATCGCCACTATGAATGCACCAAACACTCCTTTATCTTCACTCATCTTACGCAAATATCAGGCAGCAACAAGGGCAGCGCATTCTGTTGTACAACAATAAATAATAATAATATATTTTATTTAAAAGCGCCTTTCAGAACACCCAAGGTCACTTGACAGAAAACACTTAATAAAATACAATAAAACAACAATAAAACCCAAACAAGAAAAAAAAAAACAAAGAGAGAAACAGTTCAATAAAATCAGGTCATAGGCAGATTTAAACATGTGTGTTTGGAGTTTTGTTTTGAAAAGGGTAAAACTGTCGATGTTCCTGATATCTGGAGGAAGTGAGTTCCAGAGACGATAAAGATTTATAATTCTAATTATTGTTGCCCTAATTATATTTTAGATATTTTGCTTGTTGCCATATTTTGAGTTTCTAATCATTTCAGTAACTTTTGTGAATTGTCTCGTTTCCTTAACAAAAGGATCTGAATAAACGTGAGCATTACTGTATAAACATCAAATCTTAATGTAAATTCCCACAGAAGATTTGTTTTCACAGTTCTGTATAGAATAGAATAGACTTTATTAATCCCACAGTGGGGAAATATAGAAGCCAACGATAAATGTACTGTATCCTAATATTTACACTCACAAGTGTAATCTGATGCTTTTTGTCAGCTTTAAGGTGGTCAGAATGTGAAAGTAGAAATTTATCATAAAAAATGTGTGACTCCTCTGGGCTAGGCCCCGGATCTTTTCCATCCTAAACCCGGCCCTGGTGAGAGGTGTGCTCACACACAGCCTACCTGGAGCTGCAGCAGGGCTGGAGGGAAGCACAGACAGCAGGCCTTGCCTCTGCAGGTTCAGGAGATGCTGCTGCTGCACCTGAAGCAGCTGCTGCTGGATGACAATCTGCTGAGCCGTCAGCTGTGATGGATCACAAACAAACAGACTTCACCTCTTCACGACTGTACAAGTAAATCCAGCTCCTTGTGTTGTTCTCATTAAATGATCAGAAGTGCAGAAAGGAACCAGAGCTGATTCTGCTTGTTTACATGCAGATAAAATACTGATGAGTAAAAAGGTTAAAGGTTACCTCTTGACTAACCATACCAGCATTCTTCTGCTGCAGCAGCTGCATGTTTATCTGCTCTTGCTGATTCTTGAAGACCTCCTGAATCTGTTGCTGCAGACACATTACTGATGTTGAAGGTAAGCAGAAAAAGGTGTTTTGTTCAATCTGAGCAAAGGAAAGACCTGGGCACGCATTACCTGGTGTAACATGAGTGCCTTCTGCTGCTGGAGCAGCGCCTGGATCTGCTGAGGGTTGAGAACCTGCTGCTGTGGAGCCTCTGCAGGTGGAGTCATCACAGGTAACGACACCGGGACCTTAGACAGTCAACAACATCCTATCAGGGTGGGTACAACCTACACCACGTGTTTTAGCAAGGAAATATTATAGCAAAGCCCTTCTTTAACGGCTAAGAGATCATAACTGGGTGTGTGATGTCACTACAAACCCAAAACCTGTCAGTGACGTTGTTCTGAACGCTTCAGGTTTGTAAAGATCTCATTCAGTGATCAGCTGAGATTTAAACAGGAAGTAAATCACATCTCTGACTCAGAGTCTGAGAACCAGAGCGTAACGGCCTTCTGCAGAAAAGAAATAACACCATAGGGTTTTTCTAAAAACAGTGTAAACACTAACAATATAGCTTTATTGTTGCTACTTTTCTGCACAAAGAGAATTTTTTTCAGTAAGAAGCAGCGAATTTGGTGTAAAATTATGAAATCCAGCTTTCAACTAAAGCTTGAATAAGCTAACTACAGGAGATCCAACAGAAATCCAAACATTTTCCTGCCCAAAACTAAAAGTCAGCACTTCCACCAATCCATTTGATATTCATAATTGAATATTTCACAGAAACAATGTTAAAACAAAAGGTCACTGATTACTGGCTTCCATAGCTGCTCTTCTCCGCTCTTATAGCAGCACTGCTTGTTTACTGAATAAGTCTGATTAGTCTGGGTCTACATCATGGTCTACATGCGTTTTTCCACATTTGCTTGTTATAAAATGGTTTATTTGATGGGTCATAAAGGGGCCAATAAATATTTATTTTACATTTAATTGATTTTAATGCGATAAAAGCTCTGATAATTTATGCCCTTGCACATTTTTCTCCCACTAAACGATTACCTTAAATTGATGCCTACACTCACCTTTTAACGTGAACTCCCAACGATGCGTCACAACTAGAGGCCGGCCGATACTGGTTTTTCTATTTCCGATACCAAACTGCCAATTTTTAAGACTGATAGCCAGATGTTTTCCACCTTATTTTCATGCTAAAATGTCACTAATAACATCAGTTGATGCACAAAAGTTCTGAAGCTGAGCCGGTTTGTGATCTCTGACTTTAACTCTTTACTGTGTACACTGCTCAGTGTTAAAGTCAGACACCTAAATAAAGTTCATTTAGAGTATTTGTTATTCAGATGTTATCAGTGAACATAAAAATACATCAAATTAAATTCTGCAACAGCACCGGGCTGCCCGAAGATGTGCCTGACTTTAAATCGGCTTTACTAAGGACAAATATCGGCCCGATATATCGGGCTACTCCTAATACTGACCAAAATAATCTTAACCAGATAAATCGTTTTTCCTGCACAGACGCTTTTTGAATGCTGCTGAAAAGCTGAGCAGATCCATGTGCATGGACATTAGGTTGGTTTACAATATTATTATCATTATTATTGATCTACCTTTAAGGTCCTGCCGTGCTGAGATTTGGTTCTACAGACATGTTCTTAAACAGAAGTTCACCACTGAATCATCTGCCTCAAAACTGTCCCACTTGCTGACAATTTTTATGTTTAAATAAAAATGTTTAAAATGTAATGACATGAACGTAACGGTAACGCCTGACTCACAGCTTCTGTAACCAGCTCAGTGGCGTAGTGGTAGAGTGTCCGCCCGCCCTGGGACTCGGAGATCAGGGTTCAAATCCCAGCCGGGTCATACCAAAGACTTTAATACCTCCCTGCTGGACCCTCAGCTTTAAGGGGTTGGGTTGGGGTGGTTAAACCACCAAATTGACCCTTTGCACGTGACGTCACGCCACTCGTGACCGTCGCCTTCGCCATGATGGACGGCAAAAAGACCGTTTACACCCGTAGAAACTCCAGTGAAGCTAGTCAAAACAAGCCAGTTTGTAGCCTTTTATGGCTTTTATTGAGTTGATTTGACAGTAAAATGCTTTTAGCTTGCTGCGTGGTCGGCTGCACTAACAGACGAGGACGTAAACTCAACTCGTTTTTCTTCTTAATAACTTTGATGGAGACTGAGGATGGAGATGAACTGCAGAGATCAATCGAGCGGACTAGCAGGCCTCAGATTTGCAGCGAGCATGTTTTTAACGGGTAATATTAACGTTCATTTATTTCAGGAGGAAGACAGGGACAGGGATAAATGTGGTGTGTTTATACTAGTTATTGATAATCCTGATGGACGGGTATTTCACCACTGAGGCTGCGCTCCGTCCACTGTAGTGTAAAGCGAGACAATAAACAATATTAAAGCTCTGATGTATGATTACATGTGTTAAAATTACATTATTTATTTATATGAGCGTCGGCATTCAGAGAGCTTCTCATTCCGGTGTGAGAGCAGCAGCTGAACCCGGTACCACCACCAGCAACAGAAGCTGGTAGGGATCCGGACTTTTTAACAATCAGCTTTGGTGTAAAGTGAAACGCTGTTTATAACAAAGTTATAAACCCAGAGGGGTGAATTTAGGCAAAGTCAGCAACATGTTTACATCGGTGAACAGCTGCAGAGAGAACGTAAGCTAACGTTGGTAAGCTAGTTAGTAGGGCTGGGGGTAAACGATTATTTTTAAAACGATTATTCTGACGATTATTTTATCGAATAGTCGACTATTCTAATGACTATTTAGAAAATTAATCTAATGATTATTTTTCTATTGCACAATTAACAAAAACCAGAAAATCTCAAATAAATTCCTCAAAAAAATTGATAAATTCTTACTGTAAGAGAATAAACACTACAGGCCTTCCATTTTGTATAACACTGCGTTTATTGTGTTGCGGTTGGTTATGTTCTGGTGACGTGTAGAACTTGGGAGTGCAGGCTGCTGCCTGAGAGGTGGTAGAAGATGGAGTGTCTCCATGCTGCTTTGTTTTGGTCACTTATGTGCGTGAGGCGAGTGGTGTTACATTTTAAACTAAACCGAAAACCCACAACACTCTAAATGTAATAAAAGGGAGATCTACACCACAAAAAAGATGAAATCTAAACCAAAACGTAACAGCTTATCCCAACGCAAGAAGCTGTTAGCGAAGATGCTAACAGTAGCTTTACCAACGTTAAGTTCAAGTTACCAAGTTTAAATAAACCAAAAACACCCAGCAGCAAACAGACCAGCATGGAGGAGAGACTGCTACCACCAAAACAGCTCTCCTCATGTCTGAAAGAAGCTCCTTAATGAAGGGAGAAGCGCTCCCGGTGATTTTCTACATCTGCGATAGACACGAAGCAGCGCACATCTGACCCCGGAAGTTGTTGTCCGTTGCCGGGAGACGAAGGGGCAAAACAGGAAAATAATCTAGTAGTGGACGGACGTTGTTCCGGGTCTTCGGTATTTGGCGGAGATGTTAGTGAAGGCGGAGAAGAGGGCGAACTACAGGAAAAACAGGCAGATTCCTCCTCTATTTACAAACTCCTGGGGATGCAACAAGTGGGCGCGGTGCGTCGACTTCCGGATCTGACGTCGACAAATTTTTAGAATCGAGCCGTCGACTTAGTCGAGGCTTCGCTACAGCCCTACTAGTTAGCATACCGCTCTCTATGAGCCCCGCTAGATGCGCGACTTCCTCTGATAACTGAACTGGGCTTGAACTAGTGGAAGGAATGCTGGAGGAGTTTTGTTTTTGTTTTGATCGCAAAAACAATTTCAGGCTCTACTTTTCCCTTTGTTTAGTATCGTGTCGCTCGCTGTTTACAGGCTTTTGCCGTCCACCATGGTGGACCCACGTGGTTAGGTGACATCGGTGCAAAGGGTCATTAGCTCCCGAGTGTGGCCGTGTCTGCAGCTCACAGCCCATGGGGAGGGGTCAAATGTGGAGGACAGTTTACACCACACCAGTGTGTGAGACAACTATCACTACGTTTACATGCAGCCAATATCCAGGTTATGATCGGGTTAAGGTCGGTATTCTGGTTTCTGAGATGATCAGAATAACCCGTTTACAAGCACAAATAGAAAGAGTTACCCCTAACTTGCATAACCCGATGTAAATGCGGACGTTGGGGTAGCGTCAGGACGAATGGACTACGTCAAGACGCAATGTGCGTCATTTCCGGTTCTTCTTGTTCCGGTATCCGTGAAAACAACAACATGTTTCCCAGTTCGGAAGAGATAGCGACCGCGTTTGTTTGCGCTTTAGTTTCCTCGTCACTCCAAAAGTGTGGTGCTGTGCCGCGACTCGCCATGTTGCTCCCAACTTGTTGTTTACTTCCGGTGTTCTGGCGCATACAAGACGTCTCGCTACTCAAAAGACCAAGATTCCTTGCGAACAGAGCATGCGCAGAACACACGCTTTGATGGGGGTATCCCGGTATGCGTTTATACGACCAAACATTCGGGTTAGAAAAGGGTTACCCCAGGTGTAGTAACCGGGTTTTTAAAAACCCGGTTATGAGCATATCCAGGTTTTTGGCGGTGTTTAGAAGGACCTGCGGAACCGGGTTATTGCGAATATTCGGGTTTTAAAAGGGTTACTGGCTGCATGTAAACGCACTGCATGGGACTTTAACCTTTAATCTAACAAAATGTCCACATATTAAACCTGTAATTATCTATGTCTGACTTCAGAAAACGGTTCCAGAGATGCTGGAAAATGAAGAATTTAATCAACTTCTAATGATCATATGAGATTTATAAATATTTTCCTTTCACCTCTATAGGTTGGTTTCACTTGGAGCTAAAAATGGCAGCAGAAGTAGAAAACAACAAAAACACCCTGAGGCTTTTGGGAGATAGAACCCGCAGAAAAACAACAACAACCAGAACCAGAAAAACAACAACAACATCATCTTCTGCTAGACAGGCACCAATTACCACACTCCCTCCCCTCCCCCTCGCAGCTCAGAGATGTTTACGGTAAACATAAACAGAGGAATCAGAACGGCACAGGGATATAAATAATGAATAGAAAAGCATACCGAGCTTGTTTACCAAAACAGAGCTGGAGATTCGCATTTTAATTAAGGTCTGAACCACAAACAAACATTTCTCTCCGAGGCAGAGTCTGTTTTGAAGCAAGTAAACAAACTGACAGAGACGTTCACACGGGCTTGGAGCTAACAATAACAGCCCCCTGCCTCCCGGTTAGTCCGCTCTGATGAAACCCGGCGCTTGCTGCAGAACGACCACCAAAGCCATGAAAACGGGTCCATCTCTCAGACTCAGCCACCCCCCCTTCCCTGTTTTTCTGTGGACACCATCAACAAAACAACAGCCTTTGCCTAATCCCTGTTGCCATGGCAGCCAGCAAGTCCAAACATCTTCTGTTGTTGTTATTGTTGAAAGTCATACCAGTGAGCAACTGAGTGTAAACACAGATCTGCTCCCACAAGACTGGTCTTGTGAGCTGCTGAGAGAAGACTGGCAGCTGAAAACACGAGAAGATTGCTGACGTCTAGATAAACTCATAAATCCCACTGATGCCGAGTTTAATGAAATCTAAAAATAATAAACCGGGGCGTTTTAAATGAGACAGAAACCTCGGGTCTGAGGCTGTGATTTCACAGAGCAAATAGTTAACGTGTCAGTCCAACCTGAACGTTTCTCGGAGCCCTGAAAGGACCAAAAAAGGCCGAGCAGCTCTGAATCCAGCACAGTGTGCGTAAACAAAACTAACAATATAACGCTGAGCCTATCCAACCCCCCATCCTGCTCCCTGAGAGAGAAACAAGTTAAAGGCAGAAGTTCAGGGACGCCTTCGTTTGTCAGAAATGTAAAACAATCCGGCGACCAGCTAGGGGTGTGTATACTGACAGGAATATGTGTGGAGTCTAGCCAGGAAACATGAGTTTCTATACACGCCTCATTCAGCTGGAATATTAGCACACTCAAAATGTTCTTAACCGTTTATAGTTTGTGAAATGCAAAGGAAAAGGAAAGTTAATGTTGTGCTTTAAATGCTTGGCTTCTAGTGTGCCGAGCATCTGGAATGAACTGACCCTGGGTGCCTCTGGAGGAGCGGTCTGGAGGCTCTTCAGTCGACTCTCATTCTCAGTAGGGTTTCTGCTCTCGGTCTGACTTGCTTGTATGGTGTGGCCTGCTGGTTCTGACCGAGACTCATGCATCTGGACTTGACTGACCTGTGAAAAACCCCAGAAATGACTGTAAATGAAAACAGCCGCAGAGGAAAGCAGAAACGGCGGAGGTCAAGTGTTTGCAGCCAGACGGACGAGTAAAAAGCTGCAGAGCAAAAACGGTGAAGAACTTCACCGCTGTAGCCCTACCCTCTAATACAAACATGCTCGTCTAGCAGGGAGAGAGGGAGATGTTGAATCTATTTGTTGAATAACCAAGTGCTGCCATGACTACTGTAAACACAGAGGCCCCGGGTCCGTGTTTATGTGCAAACATATCTTCCTTCTGGAACAATTTACCATTAACCAGGTGGTGCGATAAACGGCTGTGGCAGGTAGTACAATGCACAAGGAGGCTTTTATGTATACAGCTTGGGAGTGTTTGAGTAAAAAGATCAGTGGTATAAACAAAAGTAAATAAGGTAGGCAAACAAATGGCATAAGGAGGTAGAAAACTCAGCAGAGAGCCTGAAATGAAACGTTCAGCAGTGCCTGTAGTCACAAGCTGAGATTAATCTTTAATCAAACCGATCTCATGTGCACGACTGAGAATCAACAGTTAGAAAACATGAGATTAGACTGCATACACTGAGATAAAGTCATGACTACAACAGCATTGACCAGTAGCAAGGCACAAGGCTGAGAGGGAATAAAACTGAAGAGAAACCAGCGGGGTGTCGTTCATACACAAGACGTGGTTTTACTGAGTCCAGCGGAGCTAAACTAAAGGCCCGCCTAATAAATCAGCCAGTTTGTGTGTTTACTTTAGCTCTCAGGATCAGCATTAGTTAGGAAGACAAAGGGCAGAGTTTCCTGTAGACATTTTTGAACAAACTGGAGAGTGAAGCTGGCCGTAAGAACAAACTGTTAATGCGTTACGAAGAGTTTTTCATTATTCTTTACTCAACAAACTTATGGACGGGCTCATTAAAATGTATAATGCGTTACTGGCAAAGAGAGGCACCTATATAGGAACAGATTTCTATAGGAGCAAAGGAAATAACACAAGCTGTAGATTTGAAAAGAGAAACTGAACACACATGCATAGAGAAAAACACGACTCGTGGAAATGGTCCAGTATTGTTAGGTTAACCTGCATAAATAACAACACAACTATGTCTATAATGGAACGGGATACCTTAAATACATGCAACACCTCAAAAGTACAGAATAATATAGAAATATAGCTCATCAGTGACTTGTATTAGACACAACCAGGTTAGTAAGGTTTTCTCACACATGATTAGATCCTCCAGACTCAGAGCAAAGTAGGGAATTAGAACATTGTCGTTCAACAAAAAGCGGTGTACGCAGAATCAGTGCGCATCCCCTCTGCTCACCAGGACCATGGTGGAACCATGTACTTTTATTTCTGTCCCATGGTCCTCCCAACTCCCTGCGGAGCAAAGCGCACCGTTCCACTAACGACCCATCATCTAAGCTCTGAATGGATGCTGCTGGTTAGGACATTAACTACATGACGGTGGCGTTGCCACATGTAAGTTCGAACAGCGCGAGGAGATCCGTTCACACCAACCACCGCAGCCTGAGGCTTCCGTTCAGCCATTAGCTAACACTGGCTAAATAACGGGAGAAAACGTTACACGAACACATTAGCTGTACAGACTCTTTAGTGTCATAAATTGGAGGTAACTTGACAGGTACCCGGTTTATGAGCACCGCTGCAGCTAGAGTTCACGACAACAGCAGCTACAACAAAAGCTACTAGCATCCCTGCGCTAGCTCATCGTTAGAAACCATCTCTCTTCCACCTCCGCTTCGCACTCCGTCACAATTCACCCGTAATAAAAATCCACCTTCCTTCTAAACGTGTCTGCTGTTGTTGGACTATCGTTTACTTACAGAATTATGAGCGAGCGGACAGGCTTTCACTCAGGGTGGTGTCACTAGAGGATCCCTAGATGCTGTGCCGTCCTCGGTGACTAGCTAGCCACAAGTTGCTAACAGAGGGCGTTGCTTCGGTAAAAGTAAACAGTGATGACGTCACGTTAGCACGAGGACCGTTTAGGATCCGGTGTTCTGACTATCCGCGCTTCCTCGTCGATTATTCCTACCAACGCGCATTTCAACAGCTGATTCAGTCTGTCCAGGTTTACTGAAAATCGGCAGCTACTGTTAATTTATTTTATGAAAAAAAGTGGATAATGTAAGAAGCAGTTTAGGCATTTCGTAAAAATTAACCCCTTAGTTGCTAACATGGACGTAATTTTTTTGGGGGGACAGGGGGGACATGTCCCCCCCACTTTTTCCAAAGTCAAGTTTTGACCCCTGCACGTTTTACCATCCAAAAACAATATTACGCTATATTAAATTGACACTGGTTGAGCTCTAGGACCAAGCGGAAAACAACCGTTTGTGTTGAAACCTGTTTCCCATGATTAGAGCATACTGTAAAGACCCCCGTGCCCCCCCCCCCACACACACACACACCACCACCACACACACACACTTCTAAAGTGAAAATTATGTCCATGGTTGCTAAAAACATTTGAATATTCTCAGAACAATGACGATTCACCAACTACTTTCACCCATGTCGAGAAAGTGATTCATAAAAATGGAGATTTGTAAGACGTTAGCTCTTACCGTTCTATTTCTCTACCTAATCCTTTATTAGACAAATTAATCCACATAGAACATCCCCCAATACTTATAGTTATTTGTTTGACTGTATAATTTTGGAGATTATTATACAACAATGCTAAATTTATTATATGTATAATATAAAACTTTTGGATATTAATTTGGGACTCTTTCAGGATACTCAACTGGTCTGAGAGTGTTTTGATGCCAGTTCATATGTCGCTTTATATGGTTCCCCTATTAAAGTTTCTCTTGAGAAAATAACTTTGATATTGAAGTTACAGTTGTTACTTCAATAGCAAATTATTAGGTATTAAGGATTATTATTAATTTAGGGGACTTCATCTCACTTTTGAAAGTCATTTTTTTTTCTATTAGTAGACAAACTGAAAGGGGAAATTATTTTTCTTCCACAACCTCTGTAGTTATTCCAAAATATCCCACTATTGCTCAAGAAGTTGTAACTCCTAATTATTCCTTTGGGGGGTAAAAGCATATTGAAGAAATGAAATGAACACCTGCAAGGCAAAATCAAAGGGAGAGCAAAAACTATTAGTACCAGACTGGTTAATGATGATGGGAGAAGAGGACTCATATCCTAAAGTGCAACACTCCTTGCGCCATGGTATATAAACAAATGTCTATATAATAATAATCTTATCATAAATAGCATATTTCATGCATGGAAACAAATCAAACATAAGTACAAACCTTATTTGATTTCTTAGCTTTGATTTTTTGTTTCTAATTATCTTAATTTACTATTACTGTATACTCTTGTGTGATATCTTGTGTGCTACTGCTGCTATCCTGCTGTACCTGAGCCATTGCAATAATGCAATTTTCCCACTGAGGGACAAATAGTGGTATTCTTATTCTTATTGCCAACAAAGAGTTATTCATTTCTACACTCTTATTTGGATAAATATTTTGACGATACATTTAAATCCCTCTTATTACCCTTATTTTTGTTTGTGTTGTTTTCTTTTTTTGTTTTGTCCTGGTAAATATTACTTTCAAGGACATATTTATGGGCTACACTAAAACACTATCGACATTAGCGGTCTTCAGGTAAAACACTTTTAGCACTTTAACCTGACTTTAAGGATACTGTATGAATGAAACAGTATTGGACAGGAGACACATTTTTATTGTGAATAAACATAGACCTCTAACAATATCAGTCACTCCCACAAACATGTTTTGCAGAACAAAGTTGAGTGGCAGTCTTTGTTATAGCTGACACAGTCAAAATGTGCCCACCAACCGCACCGCTCACACTGCAGCTGAAACGAGTGACAAATGGAGAATCAGCAATACTGACTGGGACTGCTTCCGAGCCAGTTCTCTTATCACCTGTATTCTTTATGATGATCATTATTAAAAAAATAATATTAGAAATTCTAAAAATCACACATTTTTTGTTTTACCATTTCACCCATGGGTTTGTTGGCATCATCCTCCAGTGTTGAACAAACCAAACAATAATCCACTGCATTGCCCGTGTAATGAAGATGTTAATTACATGTAATTAAGGACCATAAGACATTAAATTTCATATCGAGTATGAAATCCATCTTATGGACACTGGGTTGTTTAAATCAGAAGACTGGATCTTTTTAATGCAGGGATTTTAAAATAACACTTTGTAATAACTGAGACAAGAGAAGAGAGAGAGACTTTCAAACGTCTAAGGAAATTTATTACTAAATATTTTTTAACAATTTAACAAGACTAACTCTCTAATGATGGATGCTCTGTTTGAATGAAGTGTGAGGTGGTTGGTGTGTGGTGAATGATGTTAAATTCAGAACCTTCGCATTCGGAGAAACAAAGTCTGAGTGGGAGATGATGTTTTGCTCCTAACTGATCAGAGTTTGAGACTCGTAGTCATAAACACAGGAGACGCCATTTGTGTTGCATCCACATACCCTCAGTGAGACCTCCGTACAGATCCGGTTGCCAGGTCCACGTACCCTCCGCTGGTACTGGAGCCGATGAAACAGCGTCGGCAGTACGACAAACTAGTCCTTGGATTGTCTCCAGGTAAAAAGCGACAGGTGTTTCACAGCGTCAAAAGGGGACCCTCCTTGGGTCAGCGAGTTCAGCTTTTATTTTGAAAAGTTGCTTATATATATATATATATATATAGAGAGAGAGAGAGAGAGAGAGAGAGAGAGGATATATATATATATATATATAGAGAGAGAGAGAGAGAGAGAGAGGATATATATATATATATATATATATACATATGTGTGTGTGTGTATATATATATATATAAATATATATATATATATGTATGTATATATACACACACACATATGTGTGTGTATACGAGAACATAAGGAAACTTTATTCTGAAATGCTCCAGTCTTCGTCACTAATCATCAAAGCCCTGTGAGGGATTGAACCCCATCTGAAAACAGAGAGTAACGTTTCCAGTGCCTTTAGCAGTGACATGAGAGGGTGAAGCTTAACCTGCATTATTATGCATTCCAAAATGTTCATATTCATGTCAACACTAGAGGGAGACATTTGTAGTCTGGTTGCTTTTATTTGAGATACAAAATTGTCATTAAAGAAGGAAAACATACACAGAAACTTGCTTAACTTACAGCCATTTTCTTCTCTGTCTGGTTTGGTGAAACAGGTGTGTAGTCCTCTACGTGTTTTCACACAAAACCTAAAATAACTCGCCTATTCTGGAAAATACTCTCATGGCATCATCCAAATGTATCTAATCCATGGCACATATCCAACGGCATCAGAAAATCAGTTATCAGCTAATAGACTCCCATTCTTTGTGTGTGTGTGATTTAGGCTCCCAATAACACGCCTCGATCCAAAACCAAGGACTGGACCATCTGGTTGTCTCTCATGGACCACGGCACAGAAAGAGCCGGCTGCTACTTCAACTTCACCGAAACCACTGAAGGCCCCAAAAAGGAAAACACCAGTTGGAAGTCCAGGAAAACAGAAGACCACGGCTGGTGTTTTGTGCTCTCATTTACTCCGGCAATGTGCGTTCTGATATCCAGGTGTGGTCTGGAGGTGATCGCCGACAGGACGGGTGGCAGTTCTGAGACCGGGTTCATAAACTAGCTTGTTTTGCAGATTTTCCAATGCAGCTTTAAGTAATCAATGTGAACTTAAGGACATATTTGAGTCCTTTGTCCAAAGTAACGTCACCCTCTTAGATTTAGTTCACAGTTTGAATCCAAAATCATTTTGAAATTTGAGTTTTCTGAAAATAAAAACTATTTAAAAATAAAAGAAAAACAAAACATTCTCTCTCTCCAAAAATCCAGTTATGTTACTATTAGTACAATACTCCAAACAGCGACAGGTGAAAGTTTAGGAGTCTTTATCATTTCAAACATGTGCAAAACTAACAACAAAAGATAACTCTGTACAGATTTTCAACATGCTGAAAAGAGAGAGGACTGCTGATGAGGGCAAGGCACCATCCAAGATCAGCAACCGGCTTCAGGCTCTGAGATCTGAAGTGAGCCCGTAGACATAAATGTGCAAGAGAACTATTTGTTTTCTCAGACTACAGCACGTGCCCTTTTTAACACAGAAACAATTCAACCACAAAGAGACAATAAAACAAGTTAGGCTAATTTGGAGGTTTAACTCCAGTAAAATAAAAAGGAAATAAAATAAACACTTTGGTAATTACACGTTTTAAAGATAACAAAGCCCAGTGTTTTCAAAACAGTGACCCAAATCCAAGGTGTGTTCGAGTGTCAGTCCGTCAGTTCGTTCTGCAGAGGCTTTTAGATGTCTAACACAAACACAGAGGTTAACAAAGTGCTTGATTTTGGGCAGAAGCAAAGACAAAATAATAATAGTCACAGCACAACACATCTGCCACAAACATATGAACTAACATAAACGGTTGCATACATTTCATAGAATCACGCTGTTTTGTGCACTGAGGTTACTTTATTGAAGCAAACCCTTAATCATCATATTATGGTAAAAATGTGCAATATGCTGCTAACAAATTAAGCATTACGGCATACTAAGGATTTTCATTGTTGAGATCAGGTAACAGTTGTCTGGCTGCAAACACACAAAGATGTTTTCTAGAGGAGCTCTATTGTGCAGCCAGGAAAAGACTTGCTTGATGAAGCTCAGCTGGGTCTTAAAGGTGTGGAACACTCATTTAATCAATGCATCTGCAGTGGCCTCTATACGAATGAATGCCTGGTTCATGCTTCTCCGTCAGCTCCGCATGGGACAGACCGCACGGATTGACGGAAGCGTTTTGCTTTCATACTTCTCCGTCTCCTGGAGAGTGTTGCAAAGCAGTTCCTCGGCAGGACAACAGAGGGCGTAGCGCTGTTCTGTGGTATCCTACCTTGTTCTATAAAGTTTAAGAAAAAAAATGTATCGGTCCAAGATAGTGTGTTTATATTGTGTTTTTTGTGTATATAAGAGACTTTTAACACGGACATATTTGTCTCTCATTCTCCCACCTCTTCATGCGCTCCCCACCTCTAAACCCACGTTTCCTGTCATTTCCGTCCACAAATAAAACGCTTGCTGCGCATCTTTTCACTCCTCCAGTCACGGGAGAATGAAACGTTCATATTTTTAGAGTTTTTTCGCGAGGTATCCTTCAAGCTGCTCCGTGTCTGCCACTAGTTATCCTCGGCTCTCTTTGCAATGGCAGCGCTGTAAACAACAGCGGCGTCCTGACCAATCACAAGCTTGCGTAATCCGTCTCGTTCGACGGATGTTTAAAAAAGTGGGCTCGACTCCGTACGTACTTGCGTGCCTGCCGGAGCCCTACGCAGGGACGGATAATGGCGTTGCGTGTCTCCGCACTGACGCAGACGGAGAAGCATAAATCAGGCTTTAGTCGTACTCTGTGGGGAAGCCTGGTGCACCATTCTCAGGAACTAGAAGTGAGCCAGATCAGAGGAGAGCTTCAGATGGCAGGATCTGGAGTCTTACTTCCTGATACTTGGACATCTCCCCTCTGATTGGATAACAGCAATGCGACTCTACTGCTGATTCTGTTTGCTCTGCAACATTGATGTTTCATCTCCACAAATGACTCAAACCTGAAAGAGTTCTGCTGTGTGGTGGAGTTGTTAATGCTAGCAGTTAGCTTCTATTAGCCGAGACGTTCTCTGCTGTTTCCTGGACACTAAACCAACAACAGCCTTCTCTGTCGTGAGTCAAGATGGGTGAGTCCATGAATGTTTAGAGACAGTGTGACGTAAATCTGTCAGGCTTTTCTAATCCTAGAGTTTCACCGCCTGTTTTCTATCAGGAGCTAATGTAGGAGATAGGTGTAGGAGACTATTTTCATGTTCAGCCTGCATGTTAACTCAGTGAGACCCATTATAATCAGAAATATGATTTAAAAAATGGTTTTTGTTGTGCTCCACATCTTTAAATTCAGTACAGGCTCAGTTACCTGCACACATTATATGAGGGCACGTCTAAAAAGGAACTGCTTCTATTTCATAAAATGTCACAGTATAAAACATGAAAAAATCTGAAAATAAAATCTAATTCACATTGTTTATGCTTTTGATGCTAATAACTTTCTCAAAGATGTCAGTGGTGCTTACGACTGTACTGTCCCAGAACAAGTGATAATGCTAGGGTAGGGCTGGGTGATATGGCCTAAAATCAATATCACGATATATTGAGGATTTCACCTCGATAACGATAAATGGACGATAACTGCAGGTGTGTGCAGAAACAAAAGTTGTCCACTAGATGGGGCTGTCACGTGTAATACGTTAAAGGTATAGCAATCGATGTTTCTGAATTTCAGGAAAGGACCGCCCTCTCCACGTTGAGCAACACTCTCGCAGCGCCTGTTTACAAGTAGCTGCCAGCCGTAATGTGTAATAAGAGGCTCTAAAAACAGCATGCAGAACGTTTGCTTACCTCTCGAACAGAAAACCGGCAACGGCGGCGTCTGTGGGGAGCGGACTGGACCGCGTTAGCCTCTTCCTGATTTCCATGAGAGTGCGGGGGTGCACAGAGTATGCACGCACAGGAAGTGAAAACTAACCCAGGATTGGCTTCACCAGAAATTGACATTTTTGCGGACCAATGGTTGACGTGATCCACCCGGAAGAAAAACATCGATCGCTATAGGTTTAAGATGAACTAAACAGCTTTTTGATGGTACAGATGGGATCAGTAGAAAACAACACTGTAAACCTCAAAGCCTTTGGTGTGTTAATGTCTGGTTCGACCTCCTTCAAAAGCATGGTGCTCCTTATGAGCTGGAACAAATAGAGCAAATACAAAAGTATATAAGCAAATAGCTCAATTTTATGAGGTTTTCTTATGTTTGCATTTTCAATAAGAGGAGAAACTCACGCTTGTAAAACACAGCTTTAAAAGGGGTTTGTGGAAGGAGCTCGGTGATCTTTTCCAAGATATTTGATTCATTGGCACAGGAAGCGTTCCCATTCCAAACCTGAACAATGTCGTCTCTGTCTCGAACACTAACGCTGACTCCTACCACTTCATCCTCTGTAAACACAAAGCCAGAAAACAAGGTAGATGAGGTGTCTTTGAGCTGCACTAAACACTATCACAATATCTTACAACACTGGTTTAAATTGTGGGTTTCTGGCAGGTGATTATTCTGACATGTGGAGTTCCACATGGATTTGTGTTTGTGACAGTATTTTTCACTTCATGGAATACATGTTTTTGACAGAATAGGATAAACGTTCATCTATATGCAGATGATACTCAGTTGTAATTCAGAGCCAGATGAAATTTACCAAACAAAGAGACTATTGTTCATTCTTAAACAAAAACATTTTTTTTCTTAATTTTAACCATATTTGGACCAGAATGGGTCACTTAACTTGCACATAAGTTTTTTTTTTTTTTTTAAACAACAGAGAACTCACGTTTGCCTTTTTGGTTCCTAGATTTCTAAAAAAGTTGAATGTGAAGCAGAATCATTCAGCTCTCTTACATAATCAGTGTGGGTGTTGAGGGCACACGTCTTTATCATTATTCATTAAAGCATTTTTCTATGGGGTAGATCCTCTTAACTGTCACCAGCTTGATACAAACTTTTGTTTTACTATGTTTTACTGATTCGTTTTCTAAATCTGACCTTCTACGTTATCGTTGGATTATGGTACTTTGTTCTCCATCAGCATTTACATCATCATCTGTATAGACATTTACCTGAGGAACAATAATCACTGAACTGTTCTCCAATAGTAGCCAGCAGAAGCTCTTTCCACACAGAAGACTGTCAATATGAAAAATAGATATGTATTAAAAAGGAAAAGCATGCCTAGTGCCTATTTAAATAAAGTTATCACACTTACTGTGCACTCTTTGGGCACTTTCATTTTCCAAACACCACCTTTGGCATTGCTTTCTTCTTCCCTGTTTGCAAACCAATGAACAAAATTACACACCATTTACTCCCTAAAATACAACAGAAACAACTTAATTGTGTGACTTACCAGAGAGGTTTTCTTTCCCCCCTCATCAGATGATAGCTGCATCTCAGAGGTAGGCTGGAGACACTTGGTATGTTGTTGTAAACTCTCCAGAAGTTCTAAACCAGAGCCAAGGTGAGGAGGTGAAACGGATTATTTTGCAAACGTTGGCCTCAGTGCCAGACGTAATCGGGCTTCTCTTGTTCTGGATCACACACTCACCCACGTGAAAGACTAATTTAATATACATAACCTGGTTTGCTACTTCTTTGGAGCGTTGTTTCAGGACTGTAAAGACATCCTACCTGGACAGTCTCCACGGTGTAGATCTTTTTCAGGTTTGACTCACACTCAGCTGCTGTTGTTCCTGGTAGAGATCTAAAGAGGGGAACACATTTGTTCTAATTTCAGATGTTTCTTCTTTTCCTCCAGAGCTACATTTATCAGACAGAGCAGCGCTTCCCTCTGTGCGGACATGCTGGGGTGGCGATTGGGGAATCAGATGACAAATGTGCCAGTAAACAATAGGGATGCACCGATGGATCGGCATTTGATCCCAATCGGCCGATAGCGCCCCTATCGGTTTTGATCGGAGTTTTCAAAATAGATCAAAGCAGACCGATCAGGTAGGGTTGTCACGGTAACCGGTGTAGAGGTAAACCCCGGTAAAAAAAGTTGACAATAATAATAACCATCTTGTTTTTAAAAATATATATATTATCTCGGTGGATTACCGTGGCTGCGGTGTAGGCGCGGTGACCCTTACCAGCCACCGTATCATCTGCTGAAGTTGCTGGTGGCACATGCGCACTTTGTTGTTTACAACCAAAACTTTCTTGAAGCTAAAGCTGAAATAATGGCCAAAGGAGGAGACGGCAGCCCTCAGGACATTTATTATCCCTCAAAGAAGACAAAGTGGGAAGTATGGGCATGTTTTGGATATATGAAGAATGCCGAGGGACAGTTTATAGAAGACGGCTATCCTGTTTGCAGCACGAGCAGAAAAAGTGTCTGTGAAAGGCAGCAACGCTTCAAATCTCATGACACATCTGCGTGACCATCACCCACAACTCTACAGTCAACGCAAGGCAAGCTAACGTTAGCGTTTTAGCTAAAATGCGTGATCCGAGGATTTGGGTTGAGGGAGAATTCAATGAGTCGCTCTATAAAGCAGCCGCAGCGCCGCTACCTGCATATAAACCGTGTCGCAGACACCGCCATGTTGAAATGACGCTATGCATTACGGGGCTCCCAGGGGCAGATAAGAGTTGGTCTCTCTCCGAGAATAATTATGAATTTAACAACGATTACTGCCTGATGACATTTTCCCACATCTGCAAAGCTCACTGGAAGGACACAAACCGAGGACGATATTTTCCTGATATAGGGTTTATTACTCAAGTAAGGGTAAAAAAGTATCTGATTAGAAGGCTACTTGAGTACTGAGTATCATCTGATCTAATATTTTTAAAATGATGACATCAAACAGACAAAAAATAAGAAGTTATGGGCAAATATTGGTATTTTAAAGACTAAAGGGAAAAAATGTAAACAAATAAACAACTTAATCACAAAATAACACATTTTAGGCAAAATTTAGACACAAACTGAGGACAATATTTCCTGATATACAGGGTTTATTTAATTGTGTGAAAATGTAGCACATTAAAAAAAAATACCACGATAATACCGAAAACCGTGGTAATTTTGGTCACAATAACCGTGAGGTGAAATTTTCACACCGTGACAACCCTAATACAGACCATTTTAGATTAGGTTACATTTCCTTTATTCCCAGATTATGTAGTTTGTAGCAATCATTATAATGTTGTAGAACATTTCTGGCCAATCCACGTGATCGGTATCGGTATCAGCATTCTTTGATATCGGTATCGGCAGCAAAAAACCTGATCGGTGCATCCCTAGTAAACAACACTGACCCCATTGGAACACCACCACCCCTGTGATTACCACACACCGCGCCTGTTGTAGCTTGTGATCAGCTCTGTCATGATTACTAACGTGTGTCTTCACTTTAACTCTCTCCACTCATCCCCTGAACACAAGCAAGAACAACCGGCAAGTTGAGAATCAGCAGGGCTTAAAACCTCACTGACCTGATTTATGATGTTCAACCTTCCAGTCGTAATTTCACCTTAAAGACTTGATCTTTCTAAGTTAAACTCTGTTTTAGACAGAAACCAAAAGCTGTTGATTCATTACAAATTTTATTATAACGGTTTAAACGTTTTTTTTTTAATCCAGACCTATTCCAGGCTCATCACCTTTACTCTTTGTTCTACGGAATAGTTACTCACAATGAGAATACAGTGGGAGGAGAATACATCATTTATTATAATAATAATAAGTAAACACTGTCTTACCTATCGAGCCAGAAGGTCCATGGTGAATGTAGAGGCAGGGTGTCCCTTTCGCTGTTGTGTGGAATGATTCCTAAATCTCTTTGGCTCACGTGGATGTTTTTCTCCTGACTGGATGGTGAGCTCAGCTGGATTCCAGCAACAGGAACTTCCATTATTGCTTACAAAAAAAAAACAAAAAATCATGTGTGAAGACACAGAAGCTAGTAATGCCGCGGTTCACTCTGCGCTGCTATATTTATGCTGGTTTGTTACGTGAAATTAACCACGAGCAGCTGCTGACTCATGGTCGCTTCACCGGTTTTCTTCGTCACAAAAGAAAAAAAAACTGTTGACGTTCCTGCGGTCGGTCTAGAAGTTTCTGTCACCACAGCACACACACATTAAACACTGACCGACTCCGCTCCGCATTAAAGTAAACCGGCGAGGCGATATTTAAACTGTGACGACTTGTGCTAACCACTGGTGTTTTAAAAATCTTTGTTGATCTCAGTCTCTTCCTGTTGAGCACATAACAGCGGGCATGCGCAGTGTCTACCGTCCCTAGCTTTGTTGTGTTGCTAGCTGTGCTGCTAACTAGCAAGTGTTTCCTGCCTCTGTGACTGTGAGCGATGGACATCGACGCCTTGCTGGAAGCGTTTCAAGGTAATGTTCACATTTATCTGAAGGAGTGGTTTATCTTTAGGGTTGAATTATTTTGCAACCGGTTTTATCTCCTCGTTAAAATAGTATGCCACTTGCTATCTACGTTTACGTCCGAATCATAGCTCACTATCAATAACTACCGTTTAAAAGACCCACAGGACGTGTGAACTTCAGCCTCTACTTGTATTGGTTACTTCAGAATTATTTCTTGCTAGAAATTCTTCTGCTGCGTTTATTTCTTCAGTCATTTCCACATCTGACACTGATTATGTGAAAACTAGCTTAAACATACTGCTAACAATGCAATGCTAAGTTTGTACTTTCTGTGCATAAAATTAAAGCTGTGCGAAACTCGCATATAATGTGAGACATCTGCATTTTTAAAAATAAAACTGTGAAGTTGTCTCATACCCATACTGTTTATAAAACTATTTTGCTGTTATTTGCTAGCATACATCGCCTGGTTCGCTAATAAATGGTTCACTGATTGTGCTGTAAATGGTCTGTCTCATGGTGGATGGTAGATCTGTCAGTCAATGTTAGATTAATTTGTTCCTGTTATCTTTGTGGCTGTTTACAGATTTTGAGAAAAAAGGGAAGAAAGAGAGCTGTCCAGCTCTGGAGCAGTTTCTGCGTCATGTTGCCAAGACAGGACAACCTGTGTGAGTAGAAGCTTTCAAAGCTGACCTGTAACTTTAAGCACAAGCTAAATAGATCCTGGCATGAGTCTGTTGTTACTGTTTAAGAAAGTTAAATAGTTGTCATTGTATTGTCCACGAAAAGTGAACTTCCATTATCATCCATCCTTTAGGATCCCATGGTCTCAGTTCAAATTATATTTTCTGTATAAGTTGGAAAAAGTCATGGATGACTTTCATGCTTCGATGCCAGAACAGAGAGGACTGCGTAACCCTAATGTGGAGTTTGTTCCTTTTGATGAAATGAAAAAAAGGATCTTAAAGATTGTGGATGGGTATAATGGGTAAGTAAAATTCATGATTTACAAATATGCATGATCTTCAAAAAACTAATAAATCACGAAGTTCTGCATACTGGGTTTGATGTGTCTGTAATAATAGGCAGGAATGCATCACCACGACTCATCCGTGGCTGCAATTCTGACAGAACAATTATTTTTCACATTTGTTGCACAACTATTTATGGAGCCAAGCCTCTGTGTTGTTGTTGACTCTTGACTATAGACTAAACAGGTGACAGCAGCTTGAACTGAGCCTGAGAAGTGTAGCATGTTTGTTAAAACTTATGACTAAAGTTTAGGATGTTTCTAAACAAGCTTGTTTATTCTGCTATATTTATCCAACTGCCTCTCACTACATAACATTTAACAGTAGTTGGGTCACAGTACAAAGACACTGAGCCACCAGTTTTAATATTTTTCCTCTTGAGATATAACTGAAATCTTGTTATGTGACCGTGTTTGGCCCAAAATGGTTTGACGAGAACATAGGGAGGGGGGGTTAGTTTGAGATCCTTACTACTTTTGTATGTTTTCTCATTGCAGAAGTTAGGAGTTTAAGCTTAAATTTAAATATGCATGCTACTAGCTCAGAGGATAGAATCAGGAAACACGTGGATGTCATAATTGCAACGCTTAACGCTAACCTTTACCAAACAATAACATGGTTATGTTATCAAGAAGTAGGGTAGATTTGCAAGAATAAGTCTATAAACCTTTGGTATGGATTTCTGCAAAACTTGGTCATTACATGTGATCTGATCTTGATCTAAGTCACGACAATAGACATCACAGTCTGCTTAAAGTGACAATGTGTATTTTCCCTGGCGATAGGGGGAAGTATATATCTAAATCATTGCAAGCAAGCTTTATTTTGTGTTTGAGTAAGACCTTACCAATGGATGGCCATTAGGGTCAAAAATCCCTGGGAGCGCAACCTCCAGGACAACGGAAGAAGCACATCAGACTCCCGTTCATCACTGGCAGCAAGTGAAGAGGTAAATGTGGGAACCAAAAATGTTTATGAATGGCCAAAATTTTGTAACCGTTTGTTAGGGATGTACATAGTTAACAGGTTAATTGCCGTAACCGGGTAAAATAGTTTTCCCTGCCAGCTGAGCTCACGTTCATCTGCTGTTCATGGGTGTAATATATATTTTTGCCACCAGAGGGCGCCACTATCAAAACCATAAAAGAAGAGCTGTCACATGATCACATAAATATTGAAAAATGAAGTGGTTAGGAAAAGGCACAGCGTGGGATCATTTTATTTTTGCTCGTTAAACCGAGGCCAACATCAGACGGCCGAGCTTGGAAACGCGGAAATAAAGCAGCGCAGAGCAACAGAGCTGCTTGGTGTCTGCCTCCTCCACTTTGTTTGGTAAATTAAAGAAACTTCTGTGTAATCATTTAGTTTGATGTAAGGAAAATAAAGTGTTTTTTTAAGTGTGGCCTCCGAGTATTAACCCACTGTTCAATGGCTCCAATAACCGATTAAAACGTTCATCCCTACCGTTTGTCACAAATCAGTAAATATTTTTTGTCCTCACGGGCTCCTGTAGAAGGAAACACGGCGTCACCCAGAGACCTAGACCCACTCCCGTGTATTTTAGACCTGATTTTTATGGTTCTAGGTTACAAAGCAGCCAGTCTTTTCAACACCTGAACATCATTTATATCATTTTAAATATTTCGATGTTGCCTCTTTTAAATCTTGTTTAAAAACACTTTTTTTCTGATTTGGCCTTTGGACTGTGTTTTATGACCGTGTCTGTGATTATATTTGTTGATCTTATTGTTTGCTTTATCCGTTTTTGCTTTATTGTGTTGCAATGTATTTTAAGGGAAGCCCTTTTGCCAGCTCTCATGCTGTGTGTAAACGTGCTGTACAAATAAACTGGTATGGACACTTCCATAGATTAATGGTAACAACGACACATCGTCTCTATACTGATACCACACAAATGACTGTTTCCATGTTTTTATTGAACACACCGTGTAAACATCTCGCAGTGCAGATGTGAACCCCCAGACTAATGACATCTCCAAGAGCCAATTGGAGTCAGGTCTCAGCCAACTGGAGTCCAATCAATGAGATGACTTTGGAGGTGTTGGTTAAAGCTGGCCTGCCTTATAAAAAACACCAGTTTTGAGTTAGGTTTTCTCAAGAAGCGTTGCCTGATGTGAAGGATGCCTCACACACAAAAAGTCTCAGAAGACCTTCAATTAAGGCCCTGTCCACACGTAGCCGGGGATCTGCCAAAACGTAGATATTTTTCTACGTTTTGGCCTGTCATCCACACGAAAACGGATCTTTTTAAAAACTCCGGCCAAAGTGAAGATCTGCGTTTTCTCCGTTTTGGGTGTCTGCGTGTGGACAGACAAAACCGGAGTTTTAAGGTCCGCAACGTCACTTTCCGCGACAAAAAAATGCTGACATCACGTGTGCGACCTGTGTTTACACTAGCCGACAGCATGGACGCCCTCAGAGCTGCGCTCGCTTTATCAATTGTCCAAGCGCTTTTTGCTTGTTTGTGTTTGCAAGAGGAATTACTGCTCCTTGCGGAAGACCACAGACGAAGGACGAGGTTAAGAACGGGGGAAGTACTGCCGCCTACAGGTCTGGCATGTCCTTAACAACGTATTTATCCGGGTACGTGTGGACAGAGTTCTTTTTTTTTAAACGAGGTGGTGTGGATGCAAGTTTTTGGAGGGGTGGATATTCATTTAAAAAAAAAACCCGACTACGTGTGGACTAGGCCTAAGAATTGTTGACTTGCATAAAGCTGGAAAGAGTTACTTTTCAAAGTATCTCCAAAGGCGTTGATGCTCATGAGTCCACAGTAAGACAAGCTGTCTATAAATGGAGAAAGTTCAGCACTGCTGCTGCTCTCCCTAGAAATGGCGGTCCTGTAAAGGTGGCCACATGAGCACAGCGCTGAATGCTCAATGAAGTGAAGAAGAATCCTTGCGTGTCAGCTGAAGACTTACAAAAATCTCCAGCATGTGCGAACGTCCCCGTTGGCGAATCTACGATTCCACAGCAGCAGCGGCAAAATATTCTGTAGACGAATGAAACCAAAGTTGAGTTGTCTGGCAGAACTACACAACAGTGTGTGGAGAGAGAGAGAGGCACAGCACACCAACATCAAAACCTCATCCCAACTGGGAATGTGGTGGTGGGGCATCATGGTTTGGGGCTGCTTTGCTGCATCAGGGTCTGGATAGGTTGCCATTATTAAAGGAAAAATTTATTCCCAAGTTTATCAAGACATTTGCAGGAGAACTTGCGGTCTGTCCACCAGCTGAAGCACAACAGAAGATGGGTGATGCAACAGGACGAAGTAAACCAACTACAGAACGGCTTAAACACCAGAAAATACCATACCATACCATCTTTATTTATAAAGCACATTTAAAAACGGCATGGCAGCCGACCAAAGTGCTGTACAGAATAAAAAGTAAAAACACAATATAAAACAATACAGAGTCAACAATAAAATGCCCAACAAGGCAGATAATTACAGTCAATAAAAAGACATATAATAAAATAATAAAAGTCAGGGATGCGCCTTCTGGGGTGGCCCAGTCGGAGTCCTGACCTCAGCCCGATTGAGATGCTGTGGCATGACCTAAAGAAAGCGATTCACACCAGACATCCCAAGAATATCGCTGAACTAAAACCATCAGGTCGACGGTACAGGTCACATAAAACCAGGTCAAACAGATTCAGGGATAGCTTCTTTCCCAGGGCGATCTCTATAGTAAATAAGCATAAAACAATTAAAACTGCTTAGCGACTGTCAAGGTCACCGTCAACTATTATGCTGCTATTCTAATGCCATTTTTTACATAATATTTTAGCTGCTATTCTGTATATATTGTACTTACTATTGTTTTGTTTTAGGGGACCTTTTATATTTGTAAGTATTATTGTATTGCGCACCAAGGGAGTGGCACTCCAATTTTGTTGTATCCTGTACAATGACAATAAAGGCTATTATTATTATTATTTTGTAAGGAAGAATGGTCAAGCATGACTCCAGGCCGTCGTGCAGGTCTGATCTGCATCTAGGAAACGTTTGGTTGAAGTTATCGCTGCCAAAGGAGGTTCAACCAGTTATTACATCCTAGTGTTCACACACTTTTTCATGTTGTCATGCCAAACACTGTTGTGGTAGTTTTTAATACTCTGAAGAGCTGAACATTCAGTAATATTTACACGTCTGTTTTCCGTTAGCCCTCCAGCTCCGATAGGATTCAGATCCAGAGGTGATGCTGGTGTTCTGGTGATCACGTGTTTCTTACGGTTGGCGCGTTTCGTTGCTTTTCCAGAATTCCATTCACCATCCAGCGTCTGTGTGAGCTGCTCGTGGACCCCAAGCAAAATTATTCAGGTTCAGACAAGTTCCTCAGAGGTCTGGAAAAGGTGACACCCATACAGTAGTCTTGTCTGCAAACCCATTCTTTTATGATGCCTTTCATTACAACACGCATGCTTGTTTGTTGCAGAATGTGATGGTGGTGAGCTGTACGTACCCCGCATCAGAGTAAGTACATCCTCTCTCTAGTGTTGGACCCCTCCCTTCTCCTCTACTAGCTGCAGATTTTATAATAATTGTAAAATTACAACTACAAGCGAGAGTTATTGTTGTGCCTTTTTACTTGTTTCAAAGGAAAAATGGAGGTTTGAGTGTCAACAGAGTGAATGGAGTGATGTTTCCTGGTTACTCCCACTATTCAGACAGGTGGGAATACTGTAGCTGTCAGTAATTTAATAGCATCATTTCTTGTACCAAGTAGGATAAAGACAGGGCGGAGGAAGGCTGGTTCTACCTTACTCGTCAGATTTAGTCTCATTATGCTGATTTTGTCTAGCTTGTGATGTTACTTTTGGTTTTTTATTATTTTGCAGTCAGAATGTGAATGGACCAGGCACGCCCAAAACACTCAACAGAACAAAACTGTTGCTGTCAACCTCACTGTCCACAAATGGGCTCCCAGACTGTCCAGTCAGCAAGGAGCCCGACCCGACCGCTGATGTGGAGGAGCACCGTGAGAGGTAAGTGTGCTCGGCTAATTTCCTCCACGTTCACATCATGCTAGGACCACGGTTTAGCCAGGAAACACGGCTTAGGCCGTGCTCACAGTCGATTTCGTGTTGTTGGCAGTGAAGTGCCGCTGTCAGAAGATGAGATGAAACCAAAAGGTGGAATAAAGAACAGACACGAAGAGGAGAGGTGTGACGGTGATGAACAAGACACCAAGAGGCTGAAGTTAGCTGAAAATGAAGAGGACGAATCAAAAGGCAAAGAAAGTGAATCGTCTTGCCATGAAGAACCAGGCAGCTCGCTACAGTCGCAGGAGTCATCAGAAGCTTCTGGTTCCTCACCCAGTGATACGGACCGTCCTGGTGAGTGATGCTCAGGCTGAAGCACGCCGACTGACTCGGTGCGCAAGGAAAGGACTTCAGATACGCTAGTCCTACCTGCTAGCTAGCTAGCTAAATGATTGAATGTAATCTCGCCCCGTCATAAGTTCTTGCAGGATCAACTTCATACAGGGTATCCGCGGGTCCTTTAAAAAGTCTTAAATTTACTTTTCCAAATTTAAGGCCTTGAAAATCCTTAAAAATGACAAATAATCCTTAAATACAGTTTCCAAAGGTCTTAAATTACCAAAGACCCAATAAACTAGATTATTTTATTTCTATGACATTTTCGTGAATTTCAGCATTTTTTGTGTACGATGTTGCCGTAAGCGGAACCGTACACATTCAGTTGGTTGTGAAAGGGGGCTATTTTTAGATGAGCACGTTAGCTGGTTAAGCTAGTGGGAGCTTGCGCCATGGAGAAGTGCAAGTTTAATGGTAACTGGATGGCTAATCCCACGTTCGCGACGTGGTTAGCGCCGGTTCCAGGCAATAGCTGGAAATTATAGCTTAAAATTAATTTTAAAAATTAGCTTAAATTTGGATCTGGATCGAAAGGAGTCAGTTGAGGTGGTTTGGGCATCTGGCCAGGATGCCTCCTGGACGCCTCCATGGGGAGGTGTTTCGGGCATGTCCTGCCGGCAGGAGGCCGCCGGATCGACCCAGGACACGTTGGAGAGGTTACATCTCCAATCTGGTCCGGGAACGCCTTGGGGTCCTGCCGGAGGAGCTGGTGGAGGCGGCCGGGGAGAGGACGGTCTGGTGCTCCCTAGTTGGGATGCTGCCCCCATGACCCGGACCCGGATAAGCAGAGGAAGACGACGACAAGCTTAAATTTGGTCAAAGTGGCCTTAAAAAAGGTCTTAAAAAGTCTTAAATTTGGCTCCCTTAAACCTGCTGATACCCTGTCATAACATTCTAAAAGTTTGTAAATATGAAACACCATCCCAGGGACTGTAGGGACGTTTTAAACCTGTCGGTCAGCTATGAAGTTAAAACCGTGATGTAGCCTCTCAGACCATCAACACAGAACAGTCCAGTGCCCAGAGACTGGTGGTAAACCTTACGGTGCACCTGCTGTCTCCTCAGAGCAAAGCCACACACGGACCGAAGCAGCTGAGAGGGACGAGGGCTCGACTCAGAGCAGAACTGCCCCCAATATCCACGGCGTCAGCCCAGTGGATCCGTCGGAGCAGTCGGCTCCGTCAGAGACCGACACAAGCTTGGAGCAGGACAGTGAGGAGTGTAACAGTAGCAGCTGTGACAGAGACGAGCAGGTCTCTTCTTCCAGTAGTTCCCCTGACGTGTCAGAGGGTGGCGCCGACATTTCAGACCTGGAGAACACGACCAACGAAGCCCAGCACACCAACTGACTCTTTTTCTACACTATGATACAACCCCAAGGGTTAATTTTGTAGCACTGCGGACCTCTAGGCTTCAGGACCAAGAGCCACCTGGACCTGGAAACGGTTCCTCTCAGCTTCTCACGGTCCCGTGGTCAGCTGGTCTTTAAACTGGAAGAAGATGATTTGAATGAAGTGATGGTGACTGCCTTTTTCACAATTAACTCAAATGTTTTCTACATTTTTTCCTTAACTTTTTTATCTAAAGTCATAATTTAATCTTGTTTATGTATCCTGGTACTTCGTTGGCCCTTTGACCTTTAGTTCCCACGGAGCACAGTGGTTTCATCTTTTTATTTTTGAGATCTTTTTCTGGGTGAATGAGCACGTCTGTCTTTGAGGATGTGAAGAATTTATGTTTATGTTTTTATCTGAAGCAAACTCCATTAACACTTGTTAGCTTTGACCCCTGACAGACGCATGAAGCTAGCAGGACGCGGTAGTGACCCCACTTAGAGCCCTGCACTGAAGCCCTAGGCCCGCGGGTCGGCCCGAGGGCCGGGCTTCGGGCCAACGACTGTGTAATTACCTCGGACACGGGCCGGGCGCCTTTATTTTTAATCGAATTCATAAAAGAAAAACCACTTGAACGCAGCAGCACCTGCCTGCTTCTCACGCACCGTTAGCTCAGTTAAGGTGTGTGTGGTTTACAAATGCACCTTTATGAACAAATTCTCAAACTGCTGATTGAAACATGTGCCCCTGTTCTAATCTGCCATTTGATGTCAGAAAACATTCGTTTATTCTCATGAAAACGGCAGCATTCTATTTTTCTGTGAATAAATTCGCTCTGCTGTTAAAAAAATACAGCATTTAATGCTGTTTTTTTCTAACTGCAGAGCGAATTTTCAGAGCGGCAGATTAAATTTACAAACGCTTTATTAATTGGGAACATTTATTTAATCTGCCGCTCTGAAAACGCGCTCTGCAGTTAGAAAATTAGAATGCTGCTTTTTTTTTCTAATTGCACAAGAGTGCATTTTCAGAGCAGATTAAATTTACAAACGCATCCAATTAGTATAGTGTTCGTAAATTTCATCTGCCGCTCGGAAAATACGCTCTGTTAGAAAAAAAAGCTGCGTTGATGCTGGTTTTCTTTCTTTTCTTTTTTTACTGCAGAACGCTTCCCACAGATTAGACTGCTGAGCATCCTATCACGCTAAAACATTATGAAAGGTTAAAAGTCTGGGTCGGGCCAGAGAATCCTGAAAACCTTCTCGGACCGGGTCGGGCTGGGGCTCCGCCCCCTCGGGCCGGGCCAGACACGGGCTCAGATCTTAGGCCCGTGCAGGGCTCTAACCCCACTGGTGAGGCAGAGGTTGGCCCTTTCTGCATCAAACGATTAACACAAGGCACTTGCTCGTTCTTTACATCACACCTTAGCTGTACAACTGTCACTTTTGATCTCTCTAATTTTAACAGCACACATCCGTTTTTGTAGTCTTGTAATACAGGTCCACTGCCGTCGTAAAACTGACTGCTGGCAAGCAAAGGCTTCAGCGTGTACCGTAGTATTCATGGAAAGCAATAAATGCTGAAATTTGAAGTGATGATAAATTATTTGGGGTGTAAGCTGTCCCATGTGACTCCTGGAGACTTGTGTGACTGGACCAGGAATGAAGCTGTTTTTGTGTCATAATCGCAGCCATCCTCTGCAGGGACCCGTTGATGCTTTCACCTTTTTAGGAACGTTTTAAACGGACGTTTTTATATCCTGGGTGTGTTTTACTACGAAACTAAAAGGATGATTTTAAATTCCCAGTAAGAGATTCCCTCTGCACAAATGGTTGTTGCCTTTTGGGAGTTACTAATAACAAACGTGCCTCTGTTGTGTTTTGTCTTTGACTCCTAAAGGAAGTCGGTTTGATAAACAACTTTCCTATAAATGGTGAATGGTTTGTATTTGTGTAGCACCTTCTTAGGGTTCTACCGCCCCGCAGGGCGCGTCAATCAACCATTTACCCGTTCACACGCCGCTGGACAGTGGCCACAGCTGCCCTGGAGTGCCTAACAGAGGCGAGGCCTGCCCAACACTGGCGGCAAGGTGGGTGGTGTCTTGCCCAAGGACACAACAGCAGCATTATCTGGGCAGAGCCAGGATTGAACCTGCAACCTTCCAGTTGCTGGACAACCTGCTCCACCTAACCTGAGTTACCGCTGTGCCTATTCTAGGATGTGGGATCAGTGACTGGGGTTTTCACCATTAAGCTCTTTATTTAGCTTGTTTTAGACGTTTCTAACTCATCCATCATGATAAATGTTAGTCCAGGCTGGCGGCTGTGTTTTAATAAAAATACAGTGATCCCTCGCTACTTCGCAGTTCGTTTATCGCGGATTCACGACTTCGCGGATTTTTTCTTTGGAGCCTTATTCAAGGGAAATTTGCCGATTCGCGGTATTTTTCTATGCGAAATATCAAGAAATTCCTGTTTTTTTCATCAATTTCATCATAAAATGCACTTTTTGTAATAAAATGTAAAAAAAACAAGTAATTTTTTTTCTTGAGTTTTACCCACAAAAAGAGAATGTGATCATACGATAATTCAATATAGTACTGTACTGTAAATATGGTGTCCCTACTTCGCGGATTTTCACCTATCGCGGCCAGGTCTGGAATGCATCTACCGCGATAAACGAGGGATCACTGTACATCTTTGAATGCGGACGTCCATACCTTTCTAGACGAGTGTCACAAAAAAATTTAGAATGCAAACCTTTTATATTTTTAATTAGTTCTGCTCAAGAAAAGGCCTAATAGATCTATTAGTAACAATTTGAACATAAAATATATGAATTTATATCAACAACCACCACGAGAAACTTAATTCCACAATTCTAAAAAACGCTAGCGAGGGCCGCAAATGGCCCCCGGGCCACACTTTGGACCCACCTGAAATAGACATTTAGGAAGTGAGAGCTGCAGGACGTGTGTGACAAACAGAAACTAAAGGTGAATCCTAAAGATTCATTGTGCTAGACCAGAGGCGTGACTCATTTTAATCTCGAGAGGATAACGTCCAGCGACTCTGGTGGCCTTGACACCTCTAAGCAAGATTAACACTATCCCTGCAGTCAGCACATTTCACTGGCCTGGGATAACTGGCCAGACCGTGACTTATACCAGTTCGCTGCTGGGACACAAAATAACTAGAAAATTCCAGTCCAAGTGCCTGACACATTGATGGCGTCCATCATCAGGGGCAAAACCCTTACCTAAGGACCTTAAGGAGATTTTGGCAGGCATGTAAACTGTAATCAGGGCTTCCGGGGGATAAATGAACTCCTAACCAGTGATGAGTCATCAGACTGGAGAACGCCTTCAGAGATGTGCTAAACATGTTTTCCCATGAAGGAGTTAAAAGATCCCATTCTTTCAGTTTTCCATGACACATCAATAAACATATTTCATTTGGCAAACTTTTTTATCTTTGCAAATGTCCGACCAACACATACATATTCAGTGTGAGGGATAATGTGTTTATTTACAGTACATTGTCATCTGGTAGCAAATAGACCATTTAAACAATTACCATTCACCGTGCGGAGAAGAGGGTGTACTCCTCTCACTTCAAGTGCCCAAGTTGGCTTTCTGCTTTAAAATGGCTTCGTGTGGCCCATTTGAAGAGATTGTCTGATGGAGAGACTAATTCTTAATTTCATCAGCATTTTTACCTCCAAAACTCCAGCTGCAGACAGACGGTTGGAGAACGACAAGTTTTGGTTTCTTAAAGTTTGGTGCTTCAGTGTTCTTGGGTCTTAAGATGAAATGTTGCTGCTTTTCACTAAAGTACAAGAATTTCTCAAGTTTCAACGGCTCTTTTTGACAATTCCATTAGTTGTTTTTTTTTTGGGTGTTTTTAAAGCTGGACCTTTGTATACCTCTGGAATTGACCCAGGCATGATGGCGCTCATCGTCTGGACCGAATCCTGACAGGCTGCAGCACATTCTGGTAGAAGTGATGTTTGGCGTTTATCAAAATTTCTCGGCTTCTGTTTTTTCTACCAGCCTCGTGGTCTGGACGGTTTCCTGGCTGATGTTTTTGCCCTCAAACCACTGATAACTCTATACGGTGTGCCATCATCCTGAAAAAGGCATTGTTCATCTCCAAACTGTTGTTGGAGAGCTCTAAAGATTTTCTCTAGGAGGATGTTTTGGTAGTTCTGAGTCCACCCTTGGTTTAAGAATAATCCCACACATGGATGGTCTCCAGATGCTTCACTGTTGGCTTGATGAGACCGATAGGGTCACTCACTTCTGACAAAGGAAATCCACCAGGGAAAATGACTCAGCAGTCTAATCTCTGGACCTTTTCTTAATCTCAGGCTGCACCTGATAACATTCTTAGAGGTAAGGAGCTTCTTTGCTGCCCCTCCTGCCACCAAACCCTCCAGAAGTCTTCTCTTCTTATGCCTGCTTGCTACTGGTGCCCCGATCCCATAGCTGGATCAACTTTAGAAGATGTTCCTTGTGTGTTCTGGCCTTTATTAAGAGCCCTGGGAATTTTTTTTTATTATAAAAGCAGAAGGGATTTTTATTTATTCAGTTACAAAAAAAAAAGTTAATTTTCATGGCAGAAGTGGGACTTAGCGATTACTTCTTAATGGACATTTCTCTCTTTAGAACATCGGAGTGCCATGCCAGCTTCCAACAAGATGGCAAACGTTGCAGTTTGACCCATTCTGAAACCATTACATCACCACCGGTAAACATGTTTCCTGTACAGTCTGTTTACAGCGGAGCAGCACACAGAAAACCCCTTCATGATCTTCATGTGGACTAATTGAGTTTGACAAGTCTTCATTTCTAATCCTGTACCATGTGATCCACAGCAGCTGGTGCCCCATCCTCACGTTCAGAAGGGATTTACAACATTACAGAACAGAACACCAGTCACGCTTGTTTGGAGTTTCTCTAAACAATTTGTTTAGTTTTGGCAGATTAGCAGGAAAACTCATTTAAACTGTTGTTGTCATAAACCGGAGGGAGAAAGTCGATACTGAGAGTTCACTCAAGACTGGTTCGCGTAGTGTGTTAAGTCATTTTAGTGCTGGGGGACTTGGAGAACGTCTTCCCATCATGGGACAGCGCCTGAGCGAGGACAGTGACCCAGACAAGGAAATCGATGTGGCAGAGCTGCAGGAATGGTACAAAAAATTTGTTGTGGAATGCCCAAGCGGCACTCTGTTCATGCACGAGTTCAAGAGCTTCTTTGGGGTTACGAATAACAAGGAGGCTGCAGATTACATCGAAAACATGTTCCGAGCCTTTGACAAGAACGGCGTAAGTGTCAAGTCCATCAGTTTCTAGTAGCTATGACAGCAGTCCTTTAGTTTGACCTTCGTTTGCATACAGCATTAGGCAATAATTGACTGGAAGCATTTTTGTTTTTCTTTATTTTTGCTTGTATTTGTTTGAGTTTTTAATGAGCAGAAATGAAGTTGGTTTAGAGATCAGCTTGATGCTATGGGTGAAAAAGATTTTTCAATCTTTCAAAAGTTCATGTTGAAAACTTGCTTTCATCATGAATGTCCAAACCCTGCTGTTTCCAGGACAACACCATCGATTTTCTGGAATATGTGGCAGCTCTGAACTTAGTTCTTCGAGGGAAACTGGAGCATAAACTGAAATGGACGTTCAAAATGTACGACAAAGATGGAAGTGGCTGCATCGATAAAACAGAGCTTCTTGAAATAGTGGAGGTAACATTTTACTACTTCATAGAATTTGGAGGGTTGGTGGTTTGTATTTAAAAGTAAATCATCCAGAAGGGAGCGTAACGTCCTTTCCTCGCACTCTTAGTCTATTTACCGGCTAAAGAAGGCCTGCCACGGAGAGCTAGATGAAGAATGTAACCTGCTTACTCCAGACCAAGTGGTAGACCGAATATTTGAGCTGGTTGATGAAAATGGAGATGGTAAGAGCTTCTTTCGACAATGGTCTTTACCTCGTTGAAGGAGTAAGATGGTTCTCATACCAGCTGGTTTTCTTGTGTCACTTAGGTGAACTCTCCCTGGATGAGTTCATTGATGGAGCGCGGAGGGACAAGTGGGTGATGAAGATGCTGCAAATGGACGTCAACCCTGGAGATTGGATCAATGAGCGAAGACGCAGCGCCGACTTCTAACTCTGACAAAGCATGTCTGACCTCTCACAGTGGTGGTTTTCTACAGAACTGTATGTCTAAGTCTGGTTTTGCACTAAAACTTTACAACTGAGGCCCCTCAGTCAAGCAGGGAGTAAAGCTTCTTAGTAACGCTGCTTATATATTTAAGTAGATTTAATTATGTATTTTACATTTTCAGCAACCTTGAACAGTTTTTTTTCCTTTTGTATCACAAATCAAGTCTTAAAAATGTCCAATAAACACTTAAAGAAAATAAGATGCAGACAATTTTACAACAGAGTTGGATTTGAGAAGGAAATGTGATATTTCTATAGATGTGGTGGACAAAGTTGTTGGTACCCATTGGTCACAGAAATAACTTGATTCTGATAAAAGTACTAAAAAATAAAATTCTATTAAAGGTAACCAGAGAAAATCAGACACTGCTTTTCAACCATGCTTCAATGCTCAATAGGATTGAGGTCAGAGCTTATAGAAGGCCACTGTAGAATAGTCCAATGTTTTCCTCTTGGCCATTCTTGGGTGTTTCTAGCTGTGTGTTTTGGGTCTTGTCGTGTTGTTAGACCCACGACCTGCGACTGAGACCAAGCTTTCTGACACTGGCCAGCTCATTTCTCTCTAGAATCCCTTGATAATCTTGGGATTTAATTTGACCCTGCACAGATTCAATACACCCTGTCAGATGCAGCAAAGCAGCCCCAGAACATAACAGCACCTCCTCCTTGTTTTACAGTAGGGACAGTGTTCTTTTCTCGATATGGTCTAATGAGCTTTGAAAGAAAAGCGTCTGGACTTCTTTGAGTTGCTTGAAGAACATAGAAGAGCCACCTCCACGGGACAGGACTCAGCAGTTCGTTTGCATCTAAAGGACAAAGGTCACTCTTTCGAGGATGCCAACGTTCACATTTTGGACAGAGAGGACAGATGGTTTGAAAGAGGAGTAAAGGAAGCCATTTATGTCCACTGTGAGCAACCATCTTTGAACAGAGGCGGTGGTTTACGACACCAACTGTCTGCCATCTATAATCCAGTTTTGAGATCCCTTTCCAGATGCCTCAACGCCCACGCATATCCTGGGCCATCTGACCTCAGGAATTCACATGATAGGGTGGGGCCAGGCTTCACAATGAGCTTACCCGAAACTCTGGCTGAATAGGACCCACACCCACCCTCACACCTTGGCTCATGTGTTTATGTAGAAGATCATCAGGGGGTCTTTTGTTCCCTCTTCGGGGGGAAACTCCCACTGGGTTTAAATCTGGGACTCTCCACCATTTGACCTTAGAACTGAAGAAGCCTCTCGGATGAGAGGTGAAACGTCTTCAAGCAACTCAAAGAAGTCCAGACGCTTTTCTTTCAAAGCTCATAAGACTACAATGACCTGGATGACTGAGAACCCTCACAGACCTTTTCTCGAAATGCTTCATGTTTCTGTCTGTGAACATAGAGCTGATGTTACCTTGGCAAAAAGTCCTATCTTTGTTTCATCTGTCTATAGGACATTCTGCCAGAAGCTTTGTGGCTTGTCAGCATGTAGTTTAGCATAATCCACTAACCCTAACTAATGGGACTTTAACAATGGTGTCCTCCTTAGTCATCTCTCATGTCATGTAACAACAACAGATGGTGCGATCTGACACTGATGTTCATTGACCTTGAAGTACACCTTGGGTCTCTTTAGAAGTTTTTCGGGGCTCTTTTGTTACTATTCGGTTTATCCGTCTCTTCATTGATTTTCCTTCTGCGGCCACGTCCAGGTAGGTTGGCTGGAGTCCCATGGATCTGAAATTTCTGAATATGTGCGACTGTAGTCACAGGAACATCTAACTGCTTGGAGATGGCTCTATAGCCTTTACCTTTAACATTCTTGTCTATAATTTTATTCCTAATCTCCTGAAAACTCTTTCCTTTGCTTCCTCTGGTCCATGTTGAGTGTGGTACACACCATGTCACCAAACAGCACAGTGACTACCTGGAGCCCTTTACATATGCTACACTGACTGATTACAAGATTGAATACACCTGTGATGCTAATTAGAGGACGGTCTTTTCTAGATGTACCATAATTTTTTGTCCAGGCCTGTTCCATGATTTTATTTATTTAGATAATTCTGTTGAAGCGTGGTTGAAAAGCAGCGTCTGTCTTTTATTGGTTAAAGTTCTTTGAAATGTTATTTATTATTACGTTAGTCAGATTCAACTTATTTATGTGACCACTGACTGAAGGGTACCAACAATTTTGTTGATGTCTGTGTTTTTGTTCATATTTTAACCAGCTAAACCCTAAAACTTCATTATTATTATGATTAAATAAACGGATTTGGTTTCAAGACCGCAACAAACCTCAGTCTTAAAATATCGTTCTGTTTTATGAAGGCAGCTAGAAAATTTGGATTGATGGGTATGAAATGTAGCCAGGAGGATTATTACATTTATTATCATGTCTTGATTAAAGGGGTCTGGTTTAGTGGCTGGCAGTGGTGGTGATAACACACAATCACCTAACAGTGTGTGGTGGCATTTAATGCATAATGTTATTGTCAAGAGGCAGAGTTATTAGTGCTCAGTCACTAGATACGAGGGTGTTTACCCAATCAGCACACTGCGGGGCCGACGCAGGCAGAAGTTCTCTGATCTTTGGGAAATAACAGGAAGTACCTGCATCTACCGTTCTGCACCTAAACACTCCGTTTATCAATAAAGTTTGGTATGACATTCGACTGACTGCTTGTTATTTTTGTACATTTAATAATCAGTCATCTTTAACAAGCTGTTATCTAATTGCAAAGACAAAAGCATCAGAGAGCACAACCTACAGAGAGTCTCCCTTTATCTGTTCAGCTCATGTTTTGGTGTTTAAAAGGACTGAAGACAGACTCTCGTGGTTACTCTAACTTAACAGCAGATGTCAGCAAAAAGATGGAATTTTGCATTTAAGACTTTTAACATTAGAATTCTCACTTTGCCTGTAATATCCCAAAAATGATCAGAACAGCCACATTTTGCAGAGCTGGACAGGCTGACGTCAATGGCAGAGAGATGGGTGTTGAGTATGCTTCTGTCGGTTATGGATAACTTAACACCCACCAACCAAGGTGCTGTCATGGACCTGACACACTGACAGGATCGATTCTCCCTCAGACTCTTGAACACCTCCTGGAGGAGGCGTTAACTATAACCATAACACTGCCCAGATGCACTCATTAGATATTTAAATAGGAGGGAGTGGATTGCTGGGCCAAATGGGTCGGGTGCAGTGTGTGAAGGGTGGTGGCCGAGGGTGGGGACCTTGGCGGTCTGATCCTCGGCTACAGAGGATGGCTCTTGGCATGTGGAATGTCACTGGGGAAGGAGCCTGAGTTGGTGTGTGAGGTTGAGAAGTTCTGACAAGATATAGTTGGACTCACCTCAACGCATGGCTCTGGCTCCGGAACCAGTTTCCCTGAGAGGGGTTGGACTTTCTACCAGGCTGGAGTTGCTCCCACTGAGAGGCGCCGAGCAGGGGTGGGCATACTAGTTGCCGCCCATCTTGGTGCCTGTACGTTGGGGTTTACCCTGGTGAACGAGAGGGTAGCCTCCCTCCGCCTACGTGTGGGGGGACGGGTTCTGACTGTGGTCTGTGCTTATGCGCCAAACTGGAGAGTGTTCCTTCCGGTGACTCCCTCGTTCTGCTGGGGGACTTTAACACTCACGTGGGCAACGACAGCGAGACCTGAAGAGGTGTGGTTGGGAGGAATGGCCTCCCTAATCTGAATTTGAGATGGGCAAAGCTGTCAACTGACCTGGTGGTAAGTTGGCTCCGATAGTGGAGGAGGATGCCGGTCAGACCAAGGCTGGCCCAAACGGAAAGTGAGGGTCTGCTGGGAACGTCTGGCAGAGTCTCCTGTCAGAAGGAGCTTCAATTACCACCTCCGACAGATCTTCCAAAACGTTTCGGGGGAGGTGGAGGCCATCGAGTCCAAATGGGCCCTGTTCCGTGCCTCCATTGTTGAGCTTTGACCAGAGTGTACTGAATGTTTGCACTGATTGCCGATCACGCTTCAACTGAGTTGTCCTCGGTCAGAAGGATTGGCACTCCACAGTGATGTAGTCCAAGTAGCTTTATTAAGGAGGTGGCAGATGACATCAACAGGCTGTACAACGTTAGTGGTGAGGCAACTGCATTCCCATCTATGAATGGAGGTAAAGGGAGTGTGAGTGTGTAGGAGTATGTGGGTGTGGTAATCTGTTAACAGAAAGAACAAACATTCGTATGAATAGCAGTGTGCCGCTTGTACAGCACTGTGGGTTTCCAACATGAAGTTGTATGATCTGCTATAAACCTCATGGCCACTAGATGCCACCCTAAGACCATACATGAATTTCTAGTTGGTATATACATCAGCAAACAGGATAATCACAGCAAATAGTTCCATCCACCTCCAACCACCATACTTGACAGTGAGTCGTATATGGAATGCCATATAAGCTGCAACCAAGGCTGCCTGAAGTAGGCCAACAAAACCTGCAGCTTAGCGATAGCAACAGGACTAGCTCCTTACTTAGTGATTTACACAGAGCAACTCACAGATAAAGTCAAATAAGCACCACTCTCGTCTTATGATACTCACATGATAAACACGCACACCAAGGGTAACTCACACAGGAACGCACGAGAAAAACGCTGATCATCCAACACCTTTCAGCTGTGCTGAACTGCGCTAAACACGTTCCCAAACGGGACATATACCGAGGTGCATCATGGGTAATGTAGTCTAAACGGTTAAGGTGACCAAGCAGACTTTTAACATACAGCTTGTGTTCACAAACATTATTCCTCTGGAAAGCGGACTTTTAACAGCCGCCCCTGTATTTGTATGGATACAAATACACACACGCTAATGTCATTCTATTGCGGAACAGTATCATCTAAGTCCTCAGGGACTTTGGGGAGTCCCACTAGCTTAGTCACCGGGCGAACATAGAGACTGTCTTTGACCTTGACTTCGGCAGCTCGAACAACACCATCAGTCCCTGGAAAAACTTGGGAAATGGTACCCACAGGCCAGAGGCCTCTAGGCAGACAATCATAACAGCTTGTCCCACGGTCATGTTGTCAGTGGACTTCCTCCATTTCTGTCAGAGTTGCAGTCCTGGGAGGTAGTTCTGTATGAACCGCTTCCAGAAGTGGTCACTGATGACCTGGCTGTGTATCCATCTTCTGGTCGAAAGAGTGCCTGAGGGGCTGTAGACTGCCTGGGGTAGTGCCGAATCACGCCGCCCCATCAAGAGAAGATTTGGTGTGATGGGATCTGGGTCGGCTATGTCAGCCGATGCATAGCCAAGCGGTTTTGAGTTCAGAATGCCCTCAACCTCTATGAGAGCTGTGAGTAGGACTACTTCTGCCACAACTTGGTCCTTCAGGACTACTTGCAGAGCTGACTTCACTGCTCTGATTTCCCTTTCCCAGGCTCCTCCGAAATGAGGCGAGTGTGGGGGATTGAAGCAGAAGTTGATAGCCTGCGTGGCTAGTTGCTGCTTGAGGTCAGGCTCCATGTTTTCAAACGCTGCTTGGAGTTCTCTATGACCACCTCTGAAATTGGTCCCTCGATCAGACCACATCTCGTATGGCTTTCCTCTGCGTGCGATAAATCTGCGTAATGACATAAGGAAGGAATCGGTGTCAAGACTAGGGAGGAGATCGAGATGCACACATCTAGTTGTAAGACACTTGTAGATAATTCCCCAGCGTTTCTCTCTTCTACGACCTATCTTTATCGTGTATGGCCCGAAACAGTCTACGCCCGTTGACCAGAACGGGGGTTTATAGAGTCTCATCCGCGAGGAAGGTAAATCAGCCATCTTGGGTGTAGAAGGTGTGGCGCGCCATCTCCTACAGTCCACACACTGGTGCTGGTGTTTCTTAATGGCTTGACGTCCTCTGAGAATCTAATAGGTGCGCCGTATCTCCGCAAATGCCATCTCTGCACCTGGGTGAAGGAGCTGGTCATCATAAGTTTTTATGATGAGCTTGGTCGGGGGATGTTCAGCTGCTAATACGATGGGATGAATACTGTCCGGATCTAAGTCTGCGGCTTGACGAAGGCGGCCTCCGACTCTGATGAGACCAGTAAGACTGTCATATTCAGGGGACAGCACGCTAAGACGGCTGTCTGAGCGGACTGGGTGACTGGTCTGGAGGGCTTTGGTCTCCTCTGCGAAGCTGTCGGTCTGAGCTGAGCGGAGCAGCATGGTCTTGGTTTCTAGTCGTTCCGCGGCTGTAATAGGAGTGTCGGCCGCCCCGTGTAGGGTCCGGTACGTAGCAGCAATCAGCTCATCTAGTGAGGCATACTGCGTTGGATCCGGCAAGGTTGGGGATACAGAAGCGTGCCCACAGAATGCAGTCCTCCTGAGCTCTGCTTCATTGCATGCTGGAAACTCTGTTGGCAGCTTAGGCCAAGTGTCAGCAGCTTGTAATAGGAAAGGTGGACCATGTGACCAACGATTGGGGGCTGTTAGGTCAGCGAGATGTTTCCCTCTGGTGATGTCATCAGCAGGATTGAGCTCAGAGGTCACAGGGAGGGTGCTAGTTTAGAAGATGCTCTCTGAAGAGCAGGGTCTTCAGGAATTTCTTGAAAATTGAAAAGGAAGTCCCTGTTGTGGTAGTGCTTGGAAGGTCATTCCACATTTGTGGAACGATGCATGAGAAGAGTCTGGATTGTCCTGAGCGTGGTGTAGGCACCGCTAGCCGACGATCCTGTGATGACCGGAGCGGCCGGGCCGAGACGTAAGCCTTTGCAAGAGGATTCAGGTAGATGGGAGCCGTACCATCTCGGACTTTGCATGCTAGTGTTAGCCATTTGAATTAGATGCGTGCTGCTAGCGGTAGACAGTGGAGCTCAATGAACAGAGGGGTGACGTGTGCTCTTTTTGGCTGATTGAAGACCAGATGCGCCGCTGCATTCTGGACCGTTTGAAGAGGTCTCACAGTACAGCCTGGAAGACCAGTTAGAAGGGCGTTGCAGCAATCGAGGCGGGAGATGACAGTAGATTGCACCAGGAGCTGGGTGGCATGTTGTGTTAGGTATGGTCTGATCTTTCGTATGTTACACAGCGCAAAGCGTTCAGGTGAGAGGACAGCCCACCTAGATCACCTGATGAGTGTTTTCAGGGAGGGGCTGATTTATTATCGTGTGATTGTTCAGTAAAACAATGTTGATTTTATGTTTCCTCATCAGGTTGACGCAGTGATAGCTTGCTCCTGTTGTGTTGTTGTGTGTCCCTTTTCTGCAGGTCTAGAAGCAGACTCTTGTTCATTATTGTTTATTTTTGTAGAAACCCCCCCTCCCCCCCTCTCTACCCACCTTTTCTTTTCCTTTCTCTTTCTCCTCTGTCTCCGGGTCTGGTCGGAATTACAAAGCATTCAAAAACAATAACAATAAAGTTTTAAGTATCAGGCGTGACATTAAAAGCAGACGCTTTGATTCTCCACCTGAGAGTAAATCTGTAAGGCTTGTCACCAGCATTCAGACATCAATTCTGTTTGCTTCACAGCAAGACAGGACACAGGGGGAAAAAAAAACAAATAAATAATAAATAACCGGAAAAACTCAAAATTAGAAGTGGCCGTACCGGCCCACTTAAGGCACTGAGTGGGAAGCTGGGCGTTCCCGCCTGGTTCCCGCAGCCTGGGGGATCTTCGACAGGCAGAGCCGGATTAAATAAATGGACTACACTAGGCAGGCTGCATTTTTAGCCCCCCCCCCCCCCCCCCTCCATCGATGTTATTTAATGAATTGAAATCTGAAACTTACCAAAGTTACTAATAAAAGTTCATTCACATTTTACATAGCCTAGTTTTTGGTAACAAATTGGTTGTTTGTATGCCAGAATAAGTCATGTGTTGTATGTAAAACATTCTATTAGACAATTTTTTGATATTAATAATTTATACGTCATTACACAGCTGTATTAAATGCTAATAAATTATCCTCATCGATTGGGAGGTACCAGTAAATAACCACTAGGTGTCATTAAACTATGTAAACTGAGCAAATATGTGTCTTTGCTCTGTTTACATTTACTTAAAAAGATTTTCTGCTAAATACAATAGCTTACAACATTTATAAATGTTGACAAATTAATCACATGATGGTGGAAAGACATTCAAGAAGAAATAGATGAATTTGAATGGACTGAAGCATGTTTTAAAGGCTCAAAAACAAACTATAAACACGCAGCCTAAATTATTACAGTATAAATGTAATAAAATCTATAATCTTAAAAGAAAGTATTTTAATAAAATGAAAACGTAAGTTTTGATCTTGATTTAAGCTCATTCAGGCTGTTTTTGCCTCTGCTGAATCAGAAATTCTGTGTCAATTTTCTGAGTGTGAACTTATTGTTTTGCTATTTGAACATTAATAAAATTATTAGAAAAATAATTAATAAAACCAGCAACACTTACCGAGGAAACCATTTAGCATACTCTGCTCCGGGATAATCTTCAGCCTTCCAGCATCACAGGCCTCAGTCACAGCAGAAACACGTCTAAAGAAATGTTCCTTGGTTAAACTTCGGTTTATGTCTCCAGATTTCCTCTGTGATGCAGAGAAATAGCCAATATTTTGAGAGGGATGGTTTAGTGCAAAGTACTCACGCATCCTGTCATCAGTTTGGTACCACTTTGCAGGATCCGATGGCTAGCTAGCTAGATGTTAACACCCTTTTTGGGTCTAGAGGCTCCTGTAAGACCATATTGGGCTCACTTCTGGCTGGCTGCTGTTCTTCCAGTTCGTCCTTCTGTGAAGGCGTTGATGGTGACGGCGTTGGCGCTACATCGTTTCCCGCCGCGTCTTCCACCGCGTCTTCGGGTCGTGTCTCCTCCGGGTCTGACTTGGCCTCTGGCTCTGCTGACTCGAGCAGGTTCACAGCTGTCAGACGGCAGCCCGACAGAAACGTCTGAAAAGCCCCCCTAATTCTGTTCCTCTGTCTGGGCCTCATCCAGCCAGGCCTAGGCACGTGCCTACAAAGTTTGCCTTTGCGTTAATCCGGCTCTGCCAACAGGGGTAACACCATACTGGTTCAGTAAACCGACACTGAAGACCCAGTTACCAAATGCACAGCCCGCCACTGCAATAATCATGTTATCCTAACCTTTATCATTCTGGCTTAAAGCATTTGCCCCTCCTCCCCCCACCCCCTTTGTGCTTCTTCCCTCATCTCCAGAACTCCTGAATAGACTTTACTAGGAAGGGTCAGAAGTGTGATCCCCCTGCAGTTAGAACCCACCCTGTGGTCCCCCTTTTTAAATAGAGACCACCACCCTGCTCTGTCCACCCAGTGGAACTGCCCCTGATGTCTGTGTGATATTGCCGAGTGTCAGCCAGCATAGCCCTAGAACATCCAGAGTCTTAAGGAACTCCGGGCAGATCTCACACACCCCTTAGGCCAGGGGTGGGCAATCCCAGTCCTCGAGGGCCGCTGTCCAGCAGGTTTTACTTGTTTCTCTGCTCAAACACACCTGGTTTGAATCTACTAGTGATTAACAGGCTGCTGCAGAGCCTGATGAGCTGCTGAGCAGGCGATTCATCCTGGAATCAGGTGTGTTGGGGCAGGTAAACAACTAAAACCTGCTGGATAGCGGCCCTTGAGGACCAGGATTGCCCACCCCTGCCACCATGGAGCTTTTTGACCACCTTAGTGACCTCAGCACCAGAGATTGGAGAACTTGACCCCAAACTCTGGCATCTGGTCAGGATGCCTCCTGGTGAGGATTTCCAGGCACGTCCAACCATGAGAACCTAAAGGAAGACCCAGGATACACTGGAGGGACTATGTCTCTTATCATGTCCCTCCCTGCTTAGGCTGCTACCCCCACGACCCGACCCCAGATAAGCAGAAGAGGACGGATGGATGCAAAGCTCGCCTCGTTCTGAATTATTTATCGCCTCCTTTATTGAAAGTCTCATCGCGATTCAAATAATTTTTCAAGAGACGCCTAAAACTCGAAGTTCCCGTTCGTGTGGGTCTCAGGCAGTGGCGTGTCCAGATCTTTTAAAATGGGGTGGCCCAGGTGAGGCACAACTTTGTGCATGGGTGGCACCAATGGTTATGCTTTTTTTTGTTTTACCCCCAAGCCTTTTGTGGACAATGAAAAGCCTTTTTGAAGGTAAATTAGTGTGGTGGCACCTGGGGTGGCCAATTAGATTCCAAGGGTGGCATGTGCTACCCCAGGCCACCCCCTGGACACGCCCCTGGTCTCAGGTGTCCTAAAACACACCTGCTGATGCTGAGTGCGTTGTTTTATGTTTGAGGTGATGACTGAGGACCAAACAAAGAGCTTGAGTGAATTCTTTAATGTAATTTTTATCAACAGGACGATCCGCGCACGCTGAAACATGGTGGGCGGAAATCATCACCACAGCCAACGGTGATGACTCTTCACATTCAGCCTTTCACCGGTTTACTCAACAACCTGGGCAGCCACTTTTACTCTGAAAGAGGAAACGAGTTTCCCTTTCATAATAAAACTCAGACGGTCCATCTATAAATTAGTGTTCTTGGTTGTGTCGTCCTTGGCTTGCCCTAGCCCATAGAGCCACTTGATCACTCTGGCGTTCCTCTCAATCACAGAAATCCCATAGGGAACGCGGTCTGCAGCTTTCCCGGCATCTTCCTCCTCCTCCTCTTCCTCTTTGACCCCTCTGTTCGAGCCTCCACACTCCGATCCCGGAGCGCTGACGCTGTGAAAGCGAGCGAGGGACACGATGTCGGAGCTGGAAGCAGCCAGCTCACGCAGGTCCGACGGGTCCAGACCGCACAGGTTGAAGAAGCGCTCCAGCTCCGTCCCGGCCCGGGAGTACCGGTCACTCATGTCGGACTTGGACCGAGTCAATGACGGACGCTTTCTGGAGCTGGAGGATGACAAACGGGTGATGGCTGGAGAGGGGGGAGGAAGTGGGAAATCGGGGAGGGTGGGGGGCAGTGGTGCAGGAGCGTCAGCGGGAGGTGGGTTAGAGTGGTCGGGTTTTACTGGAGCAACAAGTGGTTTCAAGGGAGAAGAACCCGGAGCAGCTTTTGGCTGGGAGACGCGCTGGTGCGACGACGCTGAGCGCAGCAGTACGTGGGAAATCAGAGGTCTGGGTTGGAGGGGCTGCCGTATGAACTGGGGGGGTCTGGAGGCCGTCCTCACAGGGCCAAACTGAGGCATGACGTCCACTCTGCGTACGGTTCCTGCAGCCGGAGCCCCAGGAGAACCTGGACTCTCTGTCCCGGCAGCTGCAGGTACCTTTTGTCTGACTTTAGCTGGACTGGAGCAGTCGGGACGCAGAAGGGGACGTGGAGGGGGGCGTGGCTTGTCCGTCATCGGCTGAGCTTTGAACAGGGAACCGTGTGCAGTCACAGCACCACCAGGAGCCTTACAGTCCTCTGACTGGGACGCTGAGTTAGGCGTTGGCCCAACTGGGAGATCACTGATGAGGTGACTAAGGTGCTCCAGGTCAAGCTGGACGCCCTCTGGTTTCGTACCAGTCTGGAGGTTGGGCTTTCTGGTGGGGCGCAGGGGTGTGTTGGGGTTCAGCAGAGGCCTTTTCACCTCAGGAGGCCCGACTGGCTGCGTTCTGGAAAGAGCCACCTGACTCTTGACGTATTTGGCCTTGTCGGCCTCCAGTCTTTCTACGGCACTCTGCTTTGGTGCTCCTGCTGCGATTCTCCTGCAGAAATCTGGTCCCTTGGGTCGTAGACGCGGAGGGGAAACCCCGACGGCAGCCCTCACTGGCTGCCGTGGAGGCTGCTGCATCGTCTCCACAGGCATGGTGTCAGCTCCAGTTGTCCTTCAGCTACCTTAGATTATAAAACCTGGATTTAATCTCGGTCGTCATCCTCATGCCATCTCAGCAGCTCAGCCTGGACATCTGGGCTCCCTGTGGACAACAAACATCAGTCAGGGGAGCAGAAAGGACTGCTCACGGCACAAAAGACCCGAAACCCCAACGCCCACTTATTTACTCTCCCAGCCAATGGCTTCCCACGTACTCCCCCAGACTTCCAAGTCCATTGGCTGGCGGCGCAAGTCGGATTAGAACAATTCCTCAGTCATCCATCTTTTGGCACACAATGAGACTGACACTTGGTCTGCAGCTAGGAGGGACCGTGAGGAGGGTGATGGGGTGAATCAGAGGACCAGCTGTCAGACACACACACACACACACACACACACACACACACACACACACACACACGCCTCATTTGGGATCCATGAAAACAAAAACAAACTGGAGAGGCTGAAACTTCCGGGAGGCCTCCCGAGCCGTCTGCCAGGAAAATTCTGCACATAGCTCCCATTCCTGTCTGAGCCGGGCCCGGGCTCCTGCGGACCGAGCCGTGGGACGTCACCTCACCTGCCTTCAGGTCTGCAGGCCTCCAGAACAAAAGCAACAACCAGTGTGTTCCTGGGAGGGTTGGAGGCAGGGGGGAACCTCAGGAGGCGGCCCTGACCACCAGGAGCGGGCTCCTGGAGTTTCTGACTAACACGGAAACGCTGACAGGTAAACAACAGGTAGCTAACTCAAGGCGCGTGCGGAACCTTCTAAATAACCGTTTAAACTTATCTCCTGCTCCTACTTCTACTCTTCGCCCTACCGGGCTCTCACCTGAGTGGTTGGAGGAGCTCCTGAGGAGTTTGTGAGGACAAAAGCGAGACTGTCTGAAACCTCTAAACAGCTCAAGCCGAGAAGACAAACCTGTCTGACAACTCGCGTGCTGCTCGAAGCTCCGCCCCTTTGGATGATTGGACCAATCAGGTTCCTTCAAGGAAGCAAGCCGAAGCTCTCTGGCCACGTGACGCTCTCTTTGTTTTTGCCCTATCAGCAAGCTGAATGATTGGGATCCTTCCCAAAGGTCACGCTTCCGGTCTCGTTCTGTAATCTGATTACTAATGCGTATTTCTTTTCTTTGACCCTTTTTTGTCTTGTCTCAGGAAGCCCGAATAGACAACATTCAGTCTCGTTTCTGAAGAGGGTGAGACACACCAGTCCAAACGAATTAGGGTCAAAGGTCAGGTGTTCTCCTTCAGGGTGAATGTTAGTTTTACCTCAGACGGAACAGAACAGGGCTGCCAACTTTTGAACATTTCAAACAGTGAGACGGGGTCATGGGGTTGGGAGCGGACAAGTCGCTGGCCATTTGGGGGGGGGGGGGGGGTATTATTTCTACTCTGTATGGAAGAGGATTAGAGCCACTGACAAGAAAGAAAAAAGAAAAGAAAGAGAATTCTTACATTTTTCTCAGATTCTGACTTTTAATCTCAGAATTCTGACAGGGAATTCAGGGAAAAAAGTCCAAATTCTCTTTCTTTTCTTTTCAGTGGCCCTAATCCTCCATACCTCTGACTTTAGAGGGAACTGACCTTTGTTTAATACAAATTTTCTTTTCGTGAGGACAATTCAACATCCAACTCTCCTGAACTTCTTCATATTATCTATCATCTATCCATCCATCTATCTATCCATCCATCTATCTATCTATCTATCATCTATCCATCCATCTATCCATCCATCCATCCATCCATCCATCTATCTATCTATCTATCTATCATCTATCTATCTGTCTATCCATCCATCTATCTATCTATCTATCTGTCTATCCATCCATCTATCTATCTATCTATCATCTATCCATCCATCTATCTATCTATCTATATCTGCAGTAGAGTTACAGCTACATGTCACAAATGGAACTTTTAATTATAATTAATGTAAATGTTTTAATTGTAATTCCGGGGGGGGGGGGGGGGGGGGATATCATGTCATTCATAATATTACCAGTTATTATTTCCTTCCAAGAAAAAACATCTATCATGTTAAGCTAACTTCATGTTGTATTTGCATCCACTAAACAGGATTATGTTCATGTGTTCATCAGCGTGAAATTATTGAAGTTATCAAAGCAAACATGGCTGGTATCAGTTTTACTGTAATCTGCGTCTATAAGTGTGTGTGCTGCTGTAATGAGTGGATGTCCCCGCTGTGGGACTAATAAAATTCACTCTATTCTATTCTATTCTATTCTATTCTATTCTATTCTATTCTATTCTATTCATTCATATCAGCCAGCAGGGAAAAACACGTTTGAGGAATTTTGGCCTTTCCAGTCTTCCGTACCAGTAACATGATTATGGAGGGGTCACAAACAGGAAAAACACACTGGTGAAGTGGTGAATTAAGACATTAAAGCATTAGGATTCCTAATGATTTTAATGTTTTAATTCACCGCGTCACCAACTAATGGAGAGGGAACATGTGAGTGTCATCACGGTAGGAAGCCCAGCTTGCTGTGAGTGAGGATCTGTGGCCGATGAGTGAAAACAAAAGAAAAACATTCGGGACTGAAGCTCGACATCGGCTGGCCACCGCGACGCGGCTGCATTTCTAAATCATGTCATTTTGGCAGCGCGCGCAGCCGCAGCTCACGGTTCTGGGAGAACCGGGCGTGCCCGTCCCATCGACAGCAGGTGGAGCTCACCGCTCCGCCCATCTCACAACCAGAGCGGGAAAAAACCATCAGATGGGATTGTGTGTGTGAAGTAACGCCAGCTACAGTATTACTTAAGTGTTGTTTGTGTGCATGTTGTTCATGCTATCATTAATATCATGGGGTTTTATTTTTCGTAAGCCCTACGCACTGTGCGTGATGCGCGTTTGGGGCTGTGGCGTGAGCGCGCGTGAAGAGGGTCAAATGCGTGAGAGTTGGCAGCCTTGCGCCCTCAGCGTGTTCTAGGTCAGCGGTGCCCAGCCCCTTTTACCCATTAGACCCCCTTGCCTGTGTCCAAGACAACAACCTTTGTTTTAATAATAAACCAGTTAGAACGTGTTTAAACAATTCTGAATGCCGGGATGTTTGGTTCTGTCAGAGGCAGGGGCCAGATTAGGTCCAAAACATCTCTCAGTGACCTTGTTCCTGACAGAAGCGCGGCCTGGTGATGGTTTCCACCGCTGCTGTGAGGACGTGCTCAGAGGAGCCGATCCAGACACAGTAACACATTACTCTGTTAGTACACAACAGATAACCCCCAAAGGTCATCACATTGCATCCCATAATATTTGACAGTCATGAATCTAAGGTAAGGAGCATCCATGAGCCACACATCAAAAAGACTAGTAAAAGAAAAGGCTGGATGAGATTTTATTCTGTGAACATGGCATCAGGAAGTGCTTATGGCTATGTTTGTTCAGAGGTGTTGTCCACGCCACAGCAGGGCCTCGGGTCTTTACCTGTGTGAGGTGTGCAGTGGACAGCTAGATCACAGCCAGCAGAGAAGCCCCAGAAAACACCTTGTAAACACATGAGCTCTGCTGCTGCAGGAGCAGGTGTGACAGGAGGAGGAGTGTTTAGAGAAAAGCCAGCAGCTTCACCATGAAAGCCCGTCTCTGTGAAACTGATCCAGGATCAAACGTGCTGCTGAAGGTTTGAATATGTAAATGAACCAAATGATGAGTCAGCATTTCCTCAGTCCTAAACCCCCGTGTGTGAGGAAGGATGGAGAAGGCTCCAACATCAGCATCAGAAAGCCGGTAAAAGAGTCGTTGTGGGTCAGGAGACAGCACAGCCTTTATCTTTGTCCTTTTCACCCCGACGGAGAGCTCTTCTCCTCCGTATGCTCCCTCTCAGGCTCCAGTCTCTCCGGAGATCCCTTCTCTCCTCTCCTCCTCTCACTCGGCTCTCATCGGCCTGCTGCTGCCGAAGCTGTGGGGGCAGACGGATGGGCTGACCCAGGAAGAAGCCCTCCTCCTCCGAGTCCGACGAAGAGGAGGAGCAGGTGGAACACGAGTCCTCGTGTTTGCGTTGTCCAGACTGGAGGATCAGCGAGGAGGTGCTGGAGGAGCTCCGGCCGTCTCGCTCTCTCTCACCCCTCGTATCCGCGGAGTCCAGGCGGGGCCGGTCTGGCCGCGAGCGCCTCTCTGATACAGGGTGAGGAGCGGGGTCTGGGGGGGTGCGGCTACGCCCCCATCCTCTCCTCAGACTACGCTGATGATACGAGGAGCCGTCTGATTAGAAAATAAATGATCAGAAATCACATCAAAAGGAGAAAAAACTCATGTTCCTAAATATCCCAAAAGTTCTTCTTACCCAGCAGATCCATCTGAGGAGGGATGCCCTTCTGCACTCGCAGCCTCCGTCTGAAGCCTCCCTCCTCCTCAGGGTCTTCTTCACTCTGTGGGGTCTTCCCTTCCACTCGTAGATGCCCTTCCTCATCTTCATCCTCATCTTCATCCTCTTCCTCTACAGAGTAGCTGCTGCTGATTGGCTCCCTGAAGCTGACTCTCACTTTGCCGCTGCGCGTCATTGTGGGTGGAGAGCCCGAGGGCTGGCCCTCGGTCCAGGCCTGCAGGGATGAGTCGCTGGACATCAACTCGCGACACTTGACGGGCAGAGGTGGGGCTGGGGTGGGGGTCTTGTTGGATGAGGGTGGCGGCGAGTCAGATGAGGTGATATGAGAGTTTAGCTGAGGAGGAAAGGCTGAGGGGGGAACAAACCGTAGTTAGGATACGGGACTTGATCTTTTCCAACTAAAGCCGGGCGTACACTGTGCGACTTTTTTGAGCCGATTTTCCACTCGTGCGAGAATCCACGAGATCGGGGCGAGTTTTGCGCCGAGCGGTCGTGTAGTGTACAGGGGGTTACGAGAGGCGATTAACACCACGTGACCAGCTGCCGATCAGCAGTCGTGAGCTCGCACGGACTTCTGGCGTGTTTAATATTTCGCTCGTCCCTCGTGAGGGTATCGCACTGTTGAAGCAGCTGCGAGCCAAAAAGTACCAGAACCGCTCACGGCGCATGCACAATCCTGCATCAACACCGCTCACCCGCTATTTCCCTAATAACACACGCTGTTAGTTTTTATTTCTACACGTTTTTTTACTCACAAAGATTGTCAAGAAAGCGTGTTTGTCGTGTTCATGTCAAATTAAACTGATCACTAAACACAGATTTACTTTCTTCATTTTGTTTTCCTCATCCAACCCCCATAAATCCCTGTGTGTCCTCCTGCAGCACTCCCGAAGGACAACAGGCAAGACAACAAAGTCTAACATGTTGAGTAAAAACTGCTATTTTTAGCATATTTTGGGGCCGACGTGTTGCTACCAGACGTACAGTGTGAGCACATGACTCGTGAGATCTGTCCTGCGAGGAAGTCGTACAGTTTGAGCTGAAGCTGAGTGCTACGAGTGAAAAAGTCGCACAGTGTACGCCCGGCTTAACTTGTCCACTGGACCTTCTGGTACCTTTCATTGCTTGATTGGTCTTTTCCACCCAGGTCCTACAGTCGTTTTCAGTCGAGAGCCCTTTAGAACTACGACTGCTTCGTTCTGCGGTTCCGTTTACCTCTCCTTGCAGCTGAAAACCACTGAGCAGACGTCTGACCCCACCGTCCACTGGCAGTAAGCTGTAATGTGGAACGTCGCTGGGCCAGGATGGTCCTAGGCCATTCCCCAGATGAATGTGGGGCAGAGGGGAGTAGGAGCCTCTGGGGTGAGGGTGACCGCCGGGTGAAGCGGTGCCGTTCTGAACTGGAGCGCTGCAGTGGAGCCCTGCTCAGACAAAACTTTACTAAAGATTTGTTGCAGAGGGTGAGGGGAACTGAACCGTTCGTATTTACCTTTGTTCTCCTTTGCAGCAGTGGTAGGAGAGTTGCTGCCCTCTTGTGGCTGCAGTGGTGAACCACACTGTTGCTGACTGTGCTTCTCTGACACCTCCCACCGCCTCCTGTGATGAGGGGATCTGCTCTGCAACGCCGAGTCGCAGGAGTCAGAATTATTGGGGTCCTCGCCCAGCGAGCAGGACCTGGAGCAGAAGATCAGGCCCCGGCGTGGAAGAAAAGGGCGTCCGAGCAGAGGCAGTCGACAGCGGGCGCAGCAGAAACACGAATCCACCGCGTGCCAGTGCTGACCCTCGTAGGTCATCTGGCCCTGGTCTATACCTGAGAGGACACATTTATAGGGTTAACTGGTGATTCTTACCTGCTTCCCAGATAAATGTGTGTGTTTTGACCTATGTGCTGTCCACAAGTATCACAGTGCTCTGCATGCTGGGTCTGGTAGCAGGAGCAGCAGTACGGTCTGGTCTCCCTCATGATGTAACGCTGACCGCCCAGCGGCGTGTCACAGTCAAAGCAGCTGAAGTGCTTCATGTGCCAGTACCTCCCTTCTGCCTCTGTACACTCGTCTGCTAGAATGATCTAAAGAGCAGAGTCAGACAGGTCACAGCACGGGTTAGCAAATAACACACAGAGGGATGGAGCCGGCTGCCCTCCTGACCCCGGCTTAGCCATCTTCTGGATCTACAGAACTCCTATAGGTGCTCTGGCAGAAGCTAATCCTTTAGGTCACAGGAAGAGGCCAGTCGAAACTGAAATATTAATAGTAAAAAGCTCTTCAGGTCACGGGAAGCGTGTGTGATTAAACAGCGGATAGGACGTCCACTCTGCTCTCACGCGAGCTCCTCTGTGTTTAAGGAATAAAAGTTTGAAGCAAATAAAACTTTGATACGTTTGAAGGTCTGTTGTTGTGACAGTCACCTCATCGCAGGCCTGGCAGCGCGGCTTGAGCCTCTCGGCGTGGTGCCGGCCACAGTACAGCTGTCCGTCCTGGTAGAAGTAGATCAGATCCACCAGCAGCTCGTTGCAGGAAGCGCACTGGAAACACTGAGGGTGCCAGCAGCAGCCCTGCCCCGCCCGACTGGCAAACACAGCAATATCTCCGCCGCAGATCTGCCTGCCACACTGGAAACACAGACGTGGAACACTAACTCAGGGTTCCGTATTGGGTCCCACCTTGTTCTCTGTTTATCTAACCCTACTGGTGCCATCTTCAGGAAATTTACAATTCCTTTTCATTGTTACGCTGATGACACTCAGGTCTACATTCCTGTTAGTAGCTCAGGAATAAATTAGCCAGCTTAAAGGTGTTTATTTGAACTGAGATCCTGGATGGCTGAAATTTTTCTAGATCTGAACCAAAGTAAGACAGAGCTGTTAGTGATTGGTTCTTCAGCTAATGCTGAAATGAGCCATGAGCTCCTTAGTTGTTTGTCTTGGTGATTTTAGTAAATCACACGTCCGAAATCTTGGGGTCATTTTTGACAGTGACCTTTTATGTGAGAGACAGATAAGTTTGTTGGTTAAAAGCTGTTTTTTCCACCTTCGGCTTTTGTCCAAGGTCAAACCTTAGTGCAGAGGGGAGGAAGTTAGCAGGTATGTCCTATAACTGCTCCCGCAGCTCTGTGATGGTTTCTGAGCTACACCTGTACCCACATGCCAACGGGGATCTGACACATGTTCACAGGCTTTCACATGGGTGCTGCAGAGGAAAACACCAGTAATACTACGGATTAAACAAAAGTGTCCTGCACCTGCTGGCAGACGGCTCCGGTCATAGTGACGGGGAAAAGCCTCACGACGCCTCGGCCCAGGTTCTCTCGTTTCCTCTGCTGACTGAACAGATGCAGCTCCTTCCTCTCCTCCTCGTCCAGAGAGTTGCAGTAGTGAGGCTGCAAGAAGCGCCAGTTAGCATAAACATCAGGGACGAGGCCTGTCGCTGGCTGTGCTTTCATTTTACATAACAAATATATAAAATGTGTGTCTGCCCTCAGAGCCAGAGGCTCTAATCATCCCACAGGTTGCAGATAGATTTATGAACAGCCTCTGTTTGGAGAAATGTCCCTGACAGGACTGACGAGCTAACAGCTAGTCTGCACAAACAACATCCTATGAACCTTTGTGGAATTCTAGAGTAAATATTAACAGCAGAAACTGTGAAAAATGAACTGATGGTGGTGTAAAGGTGTGTAAAAGAGCATTTATAACAAACTGCTGTGATGGCTGGAGCTGCTTTGGGTGTTCAGTTCTAATCATTTATAACTTTTGTAAAGAAACACACTTCAGAACGGTCAAAAATAACTTTTAACAACACTCTGCAGCTCTTTCTCTGCTGAAGTGTGACTGATCATGGGTCTGACTCGAGGTCGGGGTGCCGTTACCTCGCTGTCGTGCGTGGGCAGCTGGTGCAGCAGCTGCTTGACTCGGTATCGCTCCCCTGGACTGTTCACATAAGGCACCCTGTCCTCTGGTAGGCAGCTAAAATACTGGTACACCTGCAGGAGAAAGCAAATGTGCTCACACCAAGGCACAAATGAGAGACTACAGGCAGCAACTTATCCAATCACAGAGCAACTCATTCCAGTGCTGACAGAACTCCAAACGAATGTTTCCCCAGGTCCTGGAAACGACTGATGTATGAACACGTCTGGGTGAGGGGAAAAAAAGCATCTTCTGTGGCTGACTTGCATCTCGACTCTGCAGCACGCCATTTCTTACCTGTTCAGGCTTGAGCCCAGGTGGGACCCACGAGTATTCCTCGGAGGCACATCCCGAGTCGTCGTCAGAGATGGAGTGTCTCTGGAAGTCTGACACCAGCTTTGTCATCATCTTTTCCAGCTGCCCCGGCACCGAGCGCACGGCATGCTCCTCCCGAACACACTTGCAGTAAACGCAGATCTTCCTGTGGAGACAGAACCGTTTCAGGCTTCGCCCCTCAGGACGCCAAAACGGATTTACGACACAAGCGAAAACCGGTCGGGCGTCAAACGTTCCTCTTCTCACCGCAGGTGGCTTCTGCAGCTGCTGGAAGCCTCACTGTGGCGGTTTTATCTGTTAGTGTGTCTGGCTGAAGGGAAACGCAGCGAGTGTTTAGGACTTGGAGCTGGATCTGCGTTGACACGGGGGGTTATCATCAGACTGCTTATGGGAAAACAGTCGAACCAGTTGCTAAAACAAAAGTTAGAACACTGCTTCACATCCCAATCACACCCTCTGCCTTCAAACCTATAATTTACAAACACGTCACGTCACAAACCAGCCTGCAAACATTTTACAGGCTGCCTAAACTAAACCATCAGTAAGAACTCCCAACTGTTGTCACAACATGGGTGGAAACACAAGAACACTAAATCCACCTCATCTCTGTAAAACTCAGATCTGTTCACGACCTCGTCACACCCATGGGATCCTCATCTGGACCAGCACATCCCTGCCAAACGAGCAGAAAACCAGGTCACTGGGATAAGCCCGGCCAGAGAGGGAGGTGAAGATGGGATCAGTAATCTCCGGCTGCCTCCAATTACAACCATCTTGTCCTCGGACTGGCTCTGGAGGAGGGTGTGACTGTGAGTGGGACCGGTGGAGTCGGAACAAAGTGCCCCGGGCTGAAAGCGAAGCGTGGGCGTCGCGTATCGGAGTGGGTGTGACGGTGTGGCCGTACGAAGGATCTGCTTCGTGTGCATCTCTGCAGTGGTTGCATAACAGCTCACCAGCTGGTGCTTGAGGCTCGAGTTCATAAGGCACAAAGCTGCTTTACTCCATCACCCAGCCCCCATGAGACCAAAAAGCTCAAACACACATCTCCTCTAATAAGTCCCTTCGGGGGGTGGGGGGGGGGCACTGCTGAGGATTGGATACCTGACAGAGAGCAGCTCTTTATCTGGCAACACACACAATTCAGTTCAAGTTTATTTATAAAGCGCCAAATCACCACAAGAGTCGTCTCAAGGACCTTCACACAGTAAACACTCCAGTACAGGTCAGGTCATTAAGCCAATCAGTCAAAAGTTTCTTGTATAAGGAACCCAGCAAGTCGCATCGAGTCACTGACTAGTGTCAGAGTCTAACCCTAACCCATACTAAGCAAGCATGCAGCGACAGTGTGTGTTTGTGTGTGTGAGCAGAAGAGAATGAAGAATGAAGTTCCAACACAAACCGGTAGGAAGCTGTCGTGATGGGACCAATGGCAGATGAACGCCTCCCCCAGGTCCTCACCCAGGTCTTCTCCCAGGCCCTCCCCCAGGTCTTCTCCCAGGCCCTCCCCCAGGTCTTCTCCCAGGTCCTCCCCCAGGTCTTCTCCCAGGCCCTCCCCCAGGTCTTCTCCCAGGTCCTCTCCCAGGCCCTCCCCCAGGTCCTCTCCCAGGCCCTCCCCCAGGTCTTCTCCCAGGTCCTCTCCCAGGCCCTCCCCCAGGTCTTCTCCCAGGTCCTCTCCCAGGCCCTCCCCCAGGTCTTCTCCCAGGCCCTCCCCCAGGTCTTCTCCCAGGTCCTCTCCCAGGCCCTCTCCCAGGCCCTCCCCCAGGCCCTCCCCCAGGCCCTCCCCCAGGTCTTTTCCCAGGCCCTCCCCCAGGTCTTTTCCCAGGCCCTCCCCCAGGTCTTCTCCCAGGTCCTCCCCCAGGTCCTCTCCCAGGCCCTCCCCCAGGTCCTCTCCCAGGCCCTCCCCCAGGTCTTCTCCCAGGTCCTCTCCCAGGCCCTCCCCCAGGTCTTCTCCCAGGTCCTCTCCCAGGCCCTTCCCCAGGTCTTCTCCCAGGTCCTCTCCCAGGCCCTCTCCCAGGCCCTCCCCCAGGCCCTCCCCCAGGTCTTCTCTCAGGCCCTCCCCCAGGTCTTTTCCCAGGCCCTCCCCCAGGTCTTCTCCCAGGCCCTCCCCCAGGTCTTCTCCCAGGCCCTCCCCCAGGTCCTCTCCCAGGCCCTCCCCCAGGTCTTCTCTCAGGCCCTCCCCCAGGTCTTCTCCCAGGTCCTCTCCCAGGCCCTCCCCCAGGTCTTCTCCCAGGTCCTCCCCCAGGTCCTCTCCCAGGTCTTTTCCCAGGTCCTCTCCCAGGTCTTTCCCCAGGCCCTCCCCCACGTCTTTTCCCAGGTCCTCTCCCAGGTCCGTCCCCCCCCCCCCCCCCCCCCCCAGGTCTTCTCCCAGGTCCTGCCCCGGTCTTCCCCCAGGTCCTCTCCCAGGTCTTTTCCCAGGTCCTCCCCCAGGTCTTCTCCCAGGTCCTGCCCCGGTCTTCCCCCAGGTCCTCTCCCAGGTCTTTTCCCAGGTCCTCCCCCAGGCCCTCCCCCAGGTCTTCTCCCAGGTCCTGCCCCGGTCTTCTCCCAGGTCCTCTCCCAGGCCCTCCCCCAGGTCCTCTCCCAGGTCTTCTCCCAGGCCCTCCCCCAGGTCCTCTCCCAGGTCCTCTCCCAGTGCCACCAGCAGCTCTACAGAAATCACTTGAGTCACCAGCAGGAGCCAACCCTCGTTAGAATGAGTGATCCTCTGGAGCTACGCTGAGTACTAAAGTACTCAAACGGTGTCTCTGCAGGTCTTTTTCATTAGGTCCAGCTCACCAACCCCAGGCCCTTTCAACACGGTAGAATTTAGGGTTCCTTAATATTCAATTATGAATAAATCTGGAGACTCAATGTCAATTTTTTATATAGCCCGTTTACAGCAGTTGTAGTGCTTAACATACACAGAAAACAATTAAAAACAATGCAAAACAATAAAAAAACAACAAACACAATAAAATAGTATCATGATTAAATAGCATAATAATTACATTACTAAATTAGCAATCACTAAAAGCAAGGGAATAAAAATATGCCTAAAGCCTAGACAGGTCAGCTGATGGAGACTCCTTAAGTTGTGGTAAAGAGTTCCACAGTCAAGCCCCGCCTCCTCTAGTTTTACATCTGGTGCTGGGAACGAACACGGTCCATTTACCAGAGGACCGTAGCACTCTGGAGGGGCAATAGAGAACACACAGGTCAGATAAATAGGTACGCGCCTTCCCATGCAAAGACTTAAAAACCAACAATAACATTTTAAACTCATTCCTAAAGTTGACAGCTAGGGCAGAGAAGCTAAAATCGGAGACAACAAGTCCTATTTCCCTGCACCAGCTAAGAATCTAGCTGCAGCATTCTGGACCAACTGCAACCTCCGTATTAAATATTTGTTGATACCAAAATATAGAGAATAACAAAAATCAAGAAATGAAAAGATAAAAGCACGAGTCGCTATCTCAAGATCCCTCTGCGATAAAAAAGGTTTGACCTTGGACAAAAGCCGAAGGTGGAAAAAACAGCTTTTAACCAACAAACTTATCTGTCTCTCACATAAAAGGTCACTGTCAAAAATGACCCCAAGATTTCGGACATGTGATTTACTAAAACCACCAAGACAACTAAGGAGCTCATGGCTCATTTCAGCATTAGCTGAAGAACCAATCACTAATAGCTCTGTCTTACTTTGGTTCAGATCTAGAAAAATTTCAGCCATCCAGGATCTCAGTTCAAATAAACACCTTTAAGCTGGCTAATTTATTCCTGAGCTACTAACAGGAATGTAGACCTGAGTGTAATCAGCGTAACAATGAAAAGGAATTGTAAATTTCCTGAAGATGGCACCAATACGGTTAGATAAACAGAGAACAAGATGGGACCCAATACGGAACCCTGAGGTACACCACATTTAACTGGAGAAAAAAACCGAGGTCAAGGAATTAAAATAAATGGCAAACCCTCTACCATTAAGATGAATTAATAAAGGATTTAAACCAATTTAGAGCAATGCCTTTGAGGAAACCTGTTGCTCTAACCTACACAATAGGATAGCATGATGTACCGTGTCAAAGGCAGCAGTGAGATCAAGTAAAACCAGAACTGCAGCACCACCAGAGTCAGCTATTAGTAAAATGAACTTTTAAAAGAGCAGTCTCAACACTATGAAAGCTGAGAAAACCAGATTGATACAGCTCAAATAGGTTGTTGCTGTTAAGATGTTCAACTAGTTGATGGAAAATTAAACTTTCCAACACTTTGGCCAGATATGTCAATAATGAAATTAGGCGATAATTGGCTAGGACACCCGGATCTAAGCCTGTTTTCTTTAGAACAGGTCACACTATTGCTTGTTTGCAAAATGAGGGCAAACAGGGTGGGCCCAAAACATCAAAAGCATCAAGTAAAAGGCGTGATGGTTCATTGAAGGTCGATGGTTCATACACGTCTCCCCTTTCATTTTGAATGAGAAGGAGGAGTCAAATCCACATCCGACAGAAGCAGTTAGGGACAAACTCCCACGTCTCTTAATAAGGACGTTAGGACAGTAGAGAGCACCTCCACCTCCTGTTTGATGGTCTGAACCACAATCCTGTGATGTAACACATAGATACATCTTCATGCTCACACTGCATACGATACACACTTCATTTAGGATTTCACCGTACGAAGGGTCAACTCCGAGGCTCTAGAGGAGGACAGTACATAACGGTATACTATAAATACCCCAGTCTGATGGATCTAAAATGGTGATTTTTCCCTCCAGTAGAAAACCGCTACAGACTTGAACCCAACTCCGTCTGAGCTGCTGCAGTAACTCTGCTTTGGTTAGATGAATTAACTTCTGTAAAAGAAATCTAGCACCCTTCTCTTCATGCAGCATCTCCACTTTCACACATGAGCTGGAGCAAAGACACAAACACCCTGCAGTTTCTTCATCAGGACCATAATCTGCTCTGGAGTTGGGTCAGTTGGACCAGGACCTTGCCACTGAGCCTGCTGGGGCTGAGGCTATGAGGCAGACTAGGTGTACAACGAGCCTCCATAGCAACTAAAAGGTTTGTGTAAGGATCCCCGTGTTCAGGTGGTAAAGTTGGAGTGTTGAAATCAAATAAAATGTAAAATTAATTCAAGACTAATCTCATTTTTACTATAATTCTATTTTAAAAAGTCAGTTTAGTGAGTTCCAGGCGAGTACGTGGCTCTGAGTCGTGTTTAGCTGTTTAGGGCCAGCTGTGGGTAAAGTGTGGGACTAGCACACCTACGATTGAAGGGATCAGAAGAATATATAAGCATCATTAGCCTAAATCTGGACAAGTGGGGGAGTAGAGGGAGGTGGAGTGTACAGTCGGTAAAGACGGCTCTCCCTTGCCCTGCCTCCAACATGCCTCCATCTAAAAGGATAGATTATCCAGAGTTCTCTCTGTAGTTATGCTGCTATAGGCTTAGACTGCTGGAGGACACAATGCCCACTTTCCACACTCTGCTACTTTCTTCTACAATTCTTACTTCCTGCTATTTAAGCTGTTAACTTTATTTTCTCTCTAAGTGTTTTTCTCCCCAGAAGAAGCTACAACGATGTTCTGCTGAGCTGTGGTGGCCTCATGGAGGGGGCCATCGTCTAGCACACTGCTGCTAACCACTTAAACATTCTCCCTCTCCTGATAATAACTTTTTGCTTTCCTTGACGTTGGATGTGCTACTACTAGTTTACCCATTTAATTATAGATCCACTAGGATAAATACAATAAAGTTTATCTCTCACCAAATAGAATATTTACTAAGAAATCACAATGTAACTATAGACACATTACGTGTGTGCGTGCGTGTGTGTGCGTGCGTGCGTGCGTGCGTGCGTGCGTGTGTGTGTGTGTGTGTGTGTGTGTGTGTGTGTGTGTGTGCTCTGTCTTCTCCATCCCCAGTGAGTCGTGGAGGATGGCTGCTTATACTGAGCCAGGATTCTCTGGAGGTTTCTTCCTGTTAAAAGGGAGTTTTCCTCTCCACTGTCGCTGCATGCTTGCTTAATATGAGGATTGCTGTATAATCACTGACTCTAGTCAGTGACTCGATGCAATTTGCTGGGTTCCTTATATAGGAAACATTATTTCTGATTGGCTTAATGAACTGACCTGAATTGGAATGTTTATTATGTGAAGTGCCTTGAGACGACTCTTGTCGTGATTTGGCGCTTTATAAATAAACTTGAATTGAATTAAACAGCTGCACAACTCATCGTCACAATATTAACGTTAATAATCCGAAGGCTTCGGTCAACGGCTGGCTCAAACCCTTCCAGCTGAGGCTGAAGTACCCATGTACAACAGGACCGTTAGAATAAAACCACGCTCAAACGTGTTATTACACTTGTGTTTTGTTACGACATGGTCATAAGTGCTAAACAACGTACGGTTCACCCTCTAACGAGCCACAGAACACCTCCTCCAGGCTGCTCTCATCTCTCCGGTCCACCTAATCCTGCTCAGCAGCAAAATATCATCAGTGAATTATTTACCTTCTGTAAAGTCAGTCCCAGCTAGCCTGCTGATGCCGTCCCATCCAGACCAGTAAAGACTGGTTTCTGCTCCCTACAGCAGGACTCTGTAAGGCTGATGTTTTAACGTGTGCGGACTCCCACCCTCCTCCGTCCTGCACGGGGGTGCAAACAACAGCCTCCATCGCACTGCCCACTCTTCAACGCATCTTTTACTAAACAGAACATTTATTTTCTAACCAATTTAAAGAAGAGCTGAAGCAAACACCCAATGACTTTAACAGATTCAGCCTGAAAACGTCCTAATGCTGCTTTACAGGATGAATCACACGCGGTTCTCTGTGTGGCTCCTCCCGTCACCAACAGATGGGCGACTGAAGCTTTGATGTCGTTATTAATCACATAAATAAGAGCAGCAGATCTGGAGCCAATGAGCAACGCTCTGCTGTGCAGCTTTGGTCCTTTTAGGAGATCAAACGACACAAAAGCTGCTTACTTCCAGTTTCTGTAAAGTCACGACACTTTTCTCTTCAGAGGACAAAAAAAAAAAAACTTGTGACATCAGATTTTTCTAAAGGTTTAGCGTAGCCACATGCTAATCCTCAGTGTGATCATCTAAAAGTGAAGCTAGCTGTTGGGGGGGGGAGAATCCTGCTCAGATCTGTCTCCAGAAAACAGATGGGCCTTGTCCCACAACGGTCTGCTGCCTCATGGCCACTGAGGTGGCTTTGAACACTTGTGAGCATGGCGGGGACCTGTGGGTCAGCCGTAACTCAATTGTCAGACTGCTGGGTGTTGGATGCACCATCTGCCCCTCCCCACTGGTTTGAGCAGTGTCTGAGGACATCCCAGTGAAGATGGATGACTTCCTTCTCAGAGAGCATCAGCAGCTGAGCTTGGAGCCACTTTGGACGATCGTCTCCATCAGCGGAGCTGTGACTCACAACTGGTTAATGAAGAGGACGCAATTAGGAGCCGACTCTGGGGCTTGAAGAACTGACCCCCATAAATCTCAATCATTTACTTACTTTCATGTCGCTCATTCGCCTGGACCAGACGTCAAAGGTCTAAACAAGACATTTGTCCTCGTCTTCTCATTCTAAAAAGTCAATGCTAATGCGTCCATCAGTCAAAAAGCATAGAGAAGACACACAAACAACAAAGATCCATCCATGTGTTATCCCAACAGATTTAACTACTTGAACAGACGTTAAATCCTTCAATCAGATGTGTACAGTACCTCATAATCTTAGCCAGGACTTTAATGTGAACCACAGCTTAGAAAACCAGGAGAAATCTGCTGATCTGGACCCTGGAGAGGACAACCTCTTCAGATTCATTCTCCTCTTGTTAAATCTAAACAGACGTCTCATCAGCTGACTGAAAGCTAAAACAGTACTACTGCTGTGAGTGACAGGATTAGATCAGAGCAACCAGCTGCACACCTGCTAAAACAAACTGGAAACACAAGAGGAAAGACCCAAACACAAGCTTTGCTGAGTAAATGCATCTCTAGTGGCGACAGGTGACGGATGCAGCTCTGATTCAAGCAACTTTTGAGCTCAGTGGATCCAAATCTGGAGAAAGAGTGCAAGTCCCGTGGATGCTGTAGTAAAACCACCACAACCTGGAAGGAAAACAGAAACTTCTAAATGAGTTTGGATGAAAAGTTGGACTTCAGCCTTAAAGTCAAAAGGAAAAGATTAAAGCTGGAAACTCCACTAATCAGACTTACTTAGGTGATTACCAGAAGCCTGTCAGAGTTAAAACACACCGTATATCAAACGTGTATTAAATGGCCCACTGGCGCATTCGCCACAAATCCTACAAATCCCATAGTGCTTTGCAGCATTAGCACATCAGTCAAAGCACTCTCTCCTGTTAACAGTCATGAGCATCCACGTGTCTGCAGCAGTACCCTCCTCAGTCTTGCACAAACTGAAAATACTTCTCTTTCTAATACTTCAGTAATGTGTTCGTGGTCGAAAGTGCACCAACCAACCTCCGGACGGAGCTGGCTGAACTCCAGTGTAGCTGCTGCAGCCCTAGCTGCTCAGACTCCCTCATGTTCAGCAGAAATTACATATTTACTGAAGGAAATTACTTTTTTGTTTTTGTAGTTGGCCTGTGGAAAAGGATTTAGCCTACAGTAAAACGGGAAAGGCTGCAGATAGAATAGAAAATCCCTTTGTTTGTGTTTATGTTGTTGTCCCTCAGTGGGGAACAGGCACAGTCATTCATTACTGGAGCAAAAAAAGGAGAGTAACTACGAATAAAGAGTAATGAAGAAGAAAACATAAAACAGAAACACTTAAAAGATGCAAAATCCTTAAAGAACAAACATTCTAAGATGCTGAGAAACATTTTAGGGAAAAAAACTTAAAAAACTGACATAATAAGTAACAAATACTACTGATGTGTGTTTTACTACAGATGTACTTGCTTGTGTGTAATTAGGTATTCAAGACTCAGTGTTTATGCAAAAATAAGTTTGTTTCCAAATGATGAGATTCAACAACACATATCTGGAGAGCAAGGACATTTTTCAGTTAACATTGAAATGAGTTTTCCATTTTGGCCCAGTGTGAACTAGACGCCGATGGGTTTGAATAAAACCGAGTCTAATCCTCGAGTGCAGGTCCTGTTTAGTGTTTCTGATGGCACACGTGTCAGGACGGGCTCTGCTAGTCTTGCTGCTCTGCAGGGGTCCACCTAGATCCTCTTCACTTAACCCCCCCCCCATTCTCACAATAAACTCAGACGAGACGATCTCTGAAAAATGTCCATATCATGAACTCTATGGTATTCAGGAAGTTTTTCTTATTTTTACAAGTTAAGGGAAGAGGCTGACGGTTTTCAAACACTGCATCGGTCCAAGCAAGACACTTTCTCCCAATTCTTCCATTCAGGCAGGGCTTTGTGGTGTGCGGCAGTGTAACCGGTGTCAACTAGGAAGTTGTGCACTGGCAAACATCCCACGTTGCTTGAAATGCAAACTGTGCTTAAATGAGAGAATTTTGATGAATGCATTAAATTAATTCATCATAATTAACACGTTAAATTCCCGCTGAGCTGCAGCGTCGTTGTTGTTGACCCTTTCGTTGGCCACCGAGCGTTTTCTGTTTGATCTCTGTGTGCTTCACTCCCGAGTCCCGACAGCGTTTGTTTACTGTTTATGTTGCTGTAGGCAAACCAGAAGAACCGGGACGAAGGGATGCATGTCGCCACCTCTCGTAGCGGAGTGGAACGCACGTCGCTCAATAACTCATGTTTCTACATGGACTGAGATGCAAATGTACATGTCCTAAAGCCGGGCATACACTGTGCGACTTTTTCACTTTTTTGAACCGATTTTCCACTCGTGCGAGAATCCACGAGATCGGGGCGAGTTTTGCGCCGAGCGTCGTGTAGTGTACAGGGGTCACGAGAGGTGATTAACACCACGTGACCAGCTACCGATTGGCAGTCGTGAGGTCGCACGGACTTCTGGCGTGTTTAATATTTTGCTCGTCCCTCGTGAGGGTATCGCACTGTTGAAGCGGCGCTGCGAGCAGCTGCGACCCAAAAAGTATCAGAACCGCTCACGGCGCATGCACAATCCTGCATCAACACCGCTCCCCGCTATTTCCCTAATAACACACGTTGTTCGTTTTTATTTCTACACGTTTTTTTACTCACAAAGATCGTCAAGAAAGCGTGTTTGTCGTGTTCGTGTCAAAGTAAACTGATCACAAAACACAGATTTACTTTCTTTATTTCGTTTTCCTCATCCAACCCCCATAAATCCCTGTGTGTCCTCCAGCAGCTCTCCCGAAGGACAACAGGCAAAACAAGACAAGAAAGTCTGACGTGTTGTGTAAAAACTGCTATTTCTAGCATATTTTTAGGGCCGACGTGTTGCTACCAGACGTACAGCGTGAACGCCTGGCTCGTGAGATCTGCCCTGCGAGGAAGTCGTACAGTTTGAGCTGAAGCTGAGTGCTACGAGTGAAAAGGTCGCACAGTGTCCGCCCAGCTTAACTCACTCAGGGACAACTTAATCCTCAGGTAACAGAACATGCATGTTTTTGGTATGTCGAGGAAACCGGAGCGCCTGGGGAAAACCCAAACATGGATGGGGAGAGAATGCCAACTCCACACAGAAAGGCCAAAGTCGGGATTTGAACCTGCAACCTTCTTGCTACAAGGCAACAGTAGTAAAATGCAGCTCTGAGTGTTAAAGAAGTATTTGATGCACCTAAACCAATCTACTTACACCCAGCAGCGTGTTCAGTTAAAGCACTGGTTTGTTACCAGTTTAGATTAAAACTGTGATTAGATGCAGGAAAGCGTAGCAAAAACCATCTGGACTGGAATGAAACAAACATTTCCTGCTTATTGCACCGGCACAGCCGTTTACCTCCAGCCATGCACACGGAAGCCGGGGCACTGGTTTCCACAGCGCATGCAGGGTTGGCCTTGGTCCGGGTCCTCTTCTTCCTGCTGAAAACACCACACGACATCATCTCAGTTCATTGTGATTTGGATCAGAAAACCACCTCATCCTTTCATTAATAAACAAAAAGATGTGTGCATGATGAGAGAAACAAGCAGACTGAAGAGCCTCCCCCTTCCTTTTGTGTGTGCGGTGATACAGGTCCTTATCTACTGAACCCCAAACACGAGCAGGGCAGCTACAGAGGCTCAGCGTGTCTCTGAACCGGGCGCTCCGAAGCAGAGCAGGTGGAACGCCTCAAAACAGCTTTTAGCCAAAATGCTGAGCCGTGCATTAAACTTGGCCGGTGGCAACTTTGCAGTTTTAGCAGTAAAATGTGTGTGTGTGTGTGTGTGCGTGCGTGCGTGTGTGTGCATGCGTGTGTGTGTGTGTGTGCGCGTGTGTGTGTGTGTGCGTGCATGCGTGCGTGTGTGTGTCCAGGCTACAGACTGCAGACGTAGGGCTTCTTTTAGAGACGAGAGGAAGGAAGCAGGCTCAGGATGAGAGCTGCACCCTTTCCCTCTCCACGCAGGAACTCCGTCTCTACTTTCTCTTGCTCAGATGACTTTACGGGACGACGTTAGAGGTTTGTGTTGACGCAGCGAGAGGACGAGTTCCTTCCAAACTATTATGTCTTCTTATTTTTCCCAAAAGTTTCCCACAAACCTTGTTTTCAAACTGGTAAAAAATAAAATACTACAGGACTCTGGCTTCAACAGGCAGAGGTTTTATGTGCTACAGCGAGGAGGTACCTGTGCATACCTGCTCACCCGACAGTTTTTTATCTAACCACTAAACTACCCAGATTCATGTCGAGCCTGTTTTCTGAAGCTGGGATTTTTACGACCTCTTTCCACACCTGCAACCTGCAGCACTCGCTGTGCTTTGCTAATCTGAGAGATCTCAGAGGATTGTTGTGGGGCTTTAGGTACTTTAGCATTGCACTGAGAAACCACAGGTACATGAAGGGTTAGGGTTTGAACCGAGCCAGCTCAGGTAGACTGCACCATAACTACTTCTGTACAGCCACGGGTTGAAGTCGTTTCGTGTCTAGGTGTAGTTTTTAATGCGACCCATACAGAAGAGGTCCCAGACCCACGCTGGGACGGCTCTAACTCCACACCGCTTCGTTCATCGTCTCTGGGCCAGGCACGAGAGGTGACAGGACGGGTTAAATGAAGCATTACAGATGAGTTCTGGGTGACTGAGCCTTTGCTCGTTTCAGTAGCAGCAGGTTGTCACATTGGCTGTGTCTCAATTCAGGGTCTGCATCCTACGTCGGCCGGATTCGTCGGCCGGTTACGTCACAGCGCCGCGACTCGGCCTGTCCCAATTCGAAGACTCCTTTGAATGCGGTCGACGAATGCGGCCTTCTTTTCGCCTGAATGAAGGATGGGTCCGGTGTATCCTTCAATAGGTAGCATTTCCCAAGATGCCTTGCGGGCCGGCCGGCAGAAAAACTTAAAAACAATGGCGGACAGTGAAGCGGGAGCTGTCGGAGAGGATTGCGCATATAAATGTCAGCATAAACTTGAAAACTGTTAGGTTAAGGGCTTTTTGTGATACATGAACGTTATTTTAGTCAGAAATGTTACAGTAAAAGTGCTTGTAATGCGGTCTCGGCTCGTATGTTCGGCCGCTCGGTGTCGTACTTCTCCCGCTATGTTTCCCCCACATTTTAATAGAAGTTTGTATTTTAGGAACAAAAGAGAAAACCAGGGAATTTATTAAGCTTAGGGCGGAGATGGACCACATGATCACCGGAGCAAAGTATTCGGTGGCTGTGGCATGGAGGTACAACAACATCTCATATTTTAAAAAACTCGTTTGAGTTTAGTTTTTTTCTGCGAAAACATGAAAGGAATAACCCGTTGTCCTCTTTTCTCTTCCTGTTTCTTTTCTTACATGTTTGTTAAGACTATTCTGGAGAAAATGGGCATCCAGGGGAAGGTGCCAGCGATGAGCTTCTGGAGCTGATCTGGGAGGACATGAGGCTGCAGAGCAGCAGAGGGCCCAGGAGAGAAGGGAGAACTTTGACAGCTTTTTACTTTGCTAGAAAAAAATGGTTAATAAAGATTAAACATGTACATATAAAAGAAATATCTAAATAAAATCAGTTCTGCATTAAACTCTTGGATTTTATTTTTGTTTACAAATGAGAATTGTTTACTAGAGGGTATCCGCTGGGTCTTGAAAAGTCTTAAAAGGTGATAAATGGGTTTTGGTCAAATTAAGACCCTTAGAAAGTCTTAAAAACTATTATCACATCTTTGCTCAGGCTCAGCTTGTTGAAAGTATTTTCTCTGAATTAGCTCTCCAACAGTCAACAGTCCTTGCAAGGGTGATGGAGGGGGCATGGGAGTTTGCCCAACCAATCCACATGTGCTTTGTGGATTTGGAGAAGGCTTATGACCGTGTCCCCAGGGGCACCCTGTGGGGGACGCTCCAGGAGTATGGGGTGGGTGGCTTTCTGTTAAGGGCCATTCACTCCCTTTACCAGAGGAGCGTGAGTTTGGTCCGCATAGCCGGTAGTAAGTCGGACCTGTTCCCGGTGAGGGTTGGACTCCGCCAGGGCTGCCCTTTGTCACCGGTTCTGTTCATCACTTTTATGGACAGAATTTCTAGGCACAGCCGTGGTGTGGAGTGTGTCGAGTTTGGTGGCAGGAGAATCTCGTCTCTGCTTTTTGCGGATGATGTGGTCCTCCTAGCTTCATCCAGCTCTGACCTTCAGCTCTTGCTGGGTAGGTTCGCGGCCGAATGTGAAGCGGCTGGGATGAGGATCAGCACCTCCAAATCTGAGACCATGGTTCTCGACCGGAAAAGGGTGGCTTGCCAATTCCAGTTCGGGAGGGAGGTCCTACCTCAAGTGGAGGAGTTTAAGTATCTCGGGGTCTTGTTCACGAGTGAGGGTAGGAGGGATCGGGAGATCGACAGGCCGAAATGAGTTTCCTCCGTAGGGTGGCCGGGCTCAGCCTTAGAGATAGGGTGAGGAGCTCGGACATTCGGGAGGGACTCGGAGTAGAACCGCTGCTCCTCCGGATCGAAAGGAGCCAGTTGAGGTGGTTTGGGCATCTGGTCAGGATGCCTCCTGGACGCCTCCCCGGGGAGGTGTTTCGGGCATGTCCTGCCAGCAGGAGGCCCCCGGGTCGACCCAGGACACGTTGGAGAGGTTACATCTCCAATCTGGTCCGGGAACGCCTTGGGGTCCTGCCGGAGGAGCTGGTGGAGGTGGCCGGGGAGAGGACGGCCTGGAGCTCCCTAGATGGGATGCTGCCCCCGCGACCCGGACCCGGATAAGCGGAGGAAGACGAAGACGAAGACGAAGACAGTCAAGGAAATGATTAACCCCCAGAGACCCACGGTTGTAACATTACAACATCAGATTTAAGTCTACAAAAATAAACCTTCCCCATTGTTTTTTCTTTTTAAAACCACATTTACATTGCTAATAGGTCCTATTGTTCAGTTCTGCAACACTATTGGCTGTTAAAATGTGTAAATAGGCCCGTTTATCTGGCCTCCTAGAACAACATGTGAAAGGTTAAAAAAAGATTTTGCAGTTGTTTCCTAAATTTGGGTTTCTGGGGGTTAAAAAGCTAAATAAAACGTCGAGCTCCATCGTTTAAAGTTCCTTCTGCCCAGCGGTTCCACGGTTGCTAGGCGACGGAACGTTCGCCGAGGGAGTTCATGAAGGCTAGGCCTGTCCAAATTCACAGCCGTTAACATCCGGTCTACCCGGCCGACGGAGGACGCAGCCCACGTCGGCCGGGTGGGCTGCGTCCTTCGAAGGATGCAGACCCTGAATTGAGACACAGCCATCGAGTTACCGCTAACTTGCATAACCTGATTTAAATGCGGGCGTTGGGGTAGCGTCAGGACGTATGGACTACGTCAAGACGCAATATGCATCATATTTCGCTGTCTCTGTACTTTCGGTCGTCAACAAAAGACATAATGTTCATACTTTTCACCAGACCGATGAACACAGAGGTTTCCTCGTCACTCCAAAAGTGTGGTGCTGTGCCGCGACTCGCCATGTTGCTCCCAACTTGTTGTTTACTTCCGGTGTTCTGGTGCATACAAGACGTCTCGCTACTCAAAAGACCAAGATTCCTTGCGAACAGAGCATGCGCAGAACACACGCTTTGATGGGGATATCCCGGTATGCGTCTACACGACCAAACATTCGGGTTAGAAAAGGGTTACCCCAGGTGTACTAACCGGGTTTTTAAAAACCCGGTTATGAGCATAACCGGGTTTTTGGCAGTGTTTACAAGGACCCGCGGATCCGGGTTATTGTGAATATTCGGGTTTTAAAAGGGTTATTGGCTGCATGTAAACGCACTCATATGGTGACTGAGCCAGACTAAAAGTCTATACAATGAACACATGGGTGTACATCGACACTCCTAAACATCACAAAGGAAAACAGCTGCAGGATAAAAACACTTCTGGAAACTGTATCCGACCTGAGCTGACTGTACTCCAGAACCCACAGAGCAGAAGTGAAATGACACTTAATGCTTTTTTTTGTCTCTTTCAGGCACTCGTTGACCTGATTTAGGTAACACGACTTTGTTTCGGTTTGTGTGTCACTAAAACATTTCCCAGCAGATCCCAGGAATGACAAATAAACACCATTTGAGGAGTGAGCTCCAGAAGTGATGCTTTTGTGTTTGTCCTGCTGTTACCCACAAACCACTGGACCACTTTAACGAGCGTGTTAGAGATCAGTCAGTCTGGTTGAGCCCAACAGGTATGAGTCATTACAGCCGATACCCAGAATGCCATTGAGCCACGGAACAGACAATAACCTCCATCCACAGCAGCGAGTCCCGAGTCAGCTGGTTTCTTCACTAGAAAGTAAAGTCCCATTATCCTGCCTCTTCCATCTAAACAGAGTCAGGACATGTCCGATAGTTTGATCTCTCTCTGGTTAGAAGATCTTACATTAAAATGTGTTTTTGTTTCAGGTAACCTGATCTGGAGCTGGAGAGGAATAGCGTCTAATGTGGAAACACTCACACCATCATTCCCAGCTAGGTGGGGATCTGTGTGGGTAAATTCCTCTTAGATAAACAAAAGATGACATAACCTTTGATTATGACGGAGCAGCTCTGCACAGATGCAGCTTGGTGCTACCGCGGACTGAACGGTTCCTCAGCCGGCTCTTTAAACAGCTCTCCGCTTTGTTCCGGCTGTAGCTGTTAGCACCGCGTGGCTAAATAAGAACCGCTTCTGCTGCAGGAGCAGCGATCACAGGCGACTAACAGATTCATTACGCGTATTTGACCAGAACCAGCTGTGAGGATTTGGACATACTGCCACACAACTTGATCTTCGCCTGAGTTGGCTGTTGTCTCCTGCTGAAGGTCCGGTGAGAGCGGAGTCATGCTACGCCAGACGGCATCGGTTCTGTGGTACCGGAGTCAAGAGCACAGCCGACTGATCTCCATCAGGGCACCGCTAGTCTTTAGACACGTCTTCTCACCAGCATCAGACTGCTGTGGAGTCACTACAAATCTAACATATATTTGATGTTACTGGAGCTACCTGCTGGATCCTGCGCCTCATCTGGACTTGTGTGTGTAAGCTCTGACCAACACTTTTTACGCGGACAACTAACTTTATCCTCTCAAAACAAACCTTCTACTTTAGAATCAAATGAAGTTTCATGCAGGATCAAGGTAAACAAAATCCTGTTACACCAGGACACCACATCATCTCGACTTCTCTGTAGGGATGCACCGATACCGATACCAGTATCGGTATCGGTAAAAGTTAACCAATACCAGGAACTGATACCAATGCAGTTGCTTGAAAATGGCTTCACTGTAACTTGTCATTTCTGTTCACCTAATATTTTAGTTTTGTGATTATTTCTATTCATATATTTTACTTTTTATCTACCTCACAGTCTTTTCCTGTGCAGAGAAGAAAATAAAACCTGTATTCCAAATCATTGCCCTTTTTTTGTATGGTAGAAGTATCGGTATTGGTAATCGGTATCGGCGAGTACTCAGATCCAAGTATCGGTATCGTATCGGTTTGGAAAAAAGTGGTATCGTTGCATCCCTACTTCTCTGGTGGAGGAAAACGTTGCCCGACCGGAAAACAACTTCCACACTGCTTCCTACTACAGATTAGAGGTCAACGCCACTGCATGAACGCCACTCACTTAAGGGCAGAGAGTAATTAAGTATGGGTTTGGCCGTGACGCAACGATGCGACACGGATTAGGAATCCAGAGGAAAACTGCACATTTACTTCAAATGTTTAGCGAGGAGACAAGAGAAGGTCACTCAGAGCTGTCCTGGAGAGATAAGGCCTGGCATGTTAGGGTAACGTGGTCTTTTCTCTAAACAAACATCCGTTTGATTCTAATCAACACTGAACGTGAGCACAAAGGTAAGCTAGAATTTGAGACAAGGTGGCAGCTCTTACTTTAACGCTGTGGAGACAGGCTGCCCTCAGATGCTTCTTTTGCAGGTTTTTATTTTGAGAATGCTGTTTTCTTTTTGTTTTTATAAATAAAGTAAAATCAGTGGGCTGGTGAAAAGACATCAGCTTTAACCTAAATCCAGATAAAATGATAAAGATGCTCACGATCAACGCCAGACTGTCTATGTCTGCTTTTTGTTTTCACTCAGAGGTTTTAATCACGCCGACCTCTGCTGGAGCTCCAGCTGTAGCCAGGTAGAGAAGAAAGTGAAAGGCTGGGTATCACACATCACCATACCACAGGGCTGGCTAAATCTGGGATTACTGCAGCAATCCAGGGATAAACAACAGAACACCAGAATGGTGGTTGGGATCGTAGGTGAACGGGACTCCCTAAAGGAGTCATTATCTAGTGAAAAATAACAAACAGAAAGTGGCGAATTAGAAATGAACAGGGCAGGTCAAAGGTCAAGGCCTTTGCTGTGAGCACGAGAACCTCTTCTCACAGAGCAAGACCGAGAAATGGTCCGTCGGATGAGCCGTTTCCAAAACACACCTCCTCCGTAGCGTCTCTGCGCTCAGTGGTTTACATTTTTCTGCTTCCTGCTGCCGAGGTCAAGTCAAACAACAACATCCAACTATTGAATCGGAACGTTCAAGCGTCAGTCGGAGGGTCGAGACGAACCTTCTC